GAAATAACGTGCCCCAAGTTACACAGCTAGTGACTGGCAAAGCCAAAACATGAACCCGTCTGCTTCAAAAACGTGTGCTTTTTCCAAAAATGGTAAGTGAAATACGATAATTTTTTAAAAAATATAATCCTCAAGAGGACGTTACATAGTATAATAATACAAATGTAAAGCCATAAGTAGTAGAAGTTGAACATATCAGAGGAATCCTTAATTTATAGTCTTGTGGTCTGAAAAAAATAATAGACTGAATTCTCCCATACTAATAAGAATTATTCTAAAAATTCCCTCATTCATTTAAGAAATAGTTACTGAGTACCCGCACCCACTCTGTGCCAAGCACTGCTACAGACCTTTTTCCCATAGGAGAAAATGGATCCAGTCAACTAAAAACCTGCCTCAGACCAATTTCAATGTTTTAAGACAAGATACCAAGAAGACATTTTATTCATTCTGTCAAACCAATTTAAAAGTTACTCAAAAATTAAAGTAATACAAGGGAGAAACGAAGAGCATAAACTAAAAGCATATAAACCACAATGGCAAGCGTACTGGCTTGAAGAGTACCCCCCACCCCAATTCCTGTCCATCGGAACCTCAGAATGTGATCTTATTTGGAATTTGGGTCTTTGCAGATGTAATTGGTTAAGCATGTCAAGATGAAATCCTCCTAGATTTAGGGTGGGCTCTCTAATGACTGGTGTCCTTACAAGAAGAGGAGAGAACATGGACATGGACACACACGGACACACACACACACACACACACACTCTGAAGGCGGCCACGTGAAGACAAAGGCAGAGAATGGAGTTTTGCTACCACAAGCCAAGGAACACCTGGAGCCACCAGAAGCTGGACGACACAAAGACAGGTCCTCGCCTACAGCCTTCAGAGGGAGTGTGACTCTACTAAGCCTTGATTTCCGACTTCCAGCCTCCAGAACTCGGAGAGAATAGATTTCTGTTGTTAAAAGCCACCCAGTTTGCGGTACTTTGTTGCTACAGCCCTAGGAAATTGACATAATACATTTTTCCTAAAATATGATATTCTCCATTAAAACGAACAAGTTAACAAAAGTAATCTTTTTTGAAAACAGGTTTTCTAAACTGTACTACAGAGGCCCAAGAATTCTTAAATGGAACACACTCTATGTGATGACTGGGAGCCAGGCACAGGTTCCCCCTGTGTGAGCATCAGTTACTTCCCCTCACACAGTGACACAGTGGGAGTTACTTCACCCGACAGCACTTCTTGCTCCCGGGCTCCCAGGTTCTAGGTTCCAGCTCCTGTGGTTTTCTGCTTTTTGAAGTTGTGTTGCATCCTTCAGGTCTATCAAGAGTCAGCTCTTATAGCCCCCTCTCAATGTTCTAATTGGGGGATTCTAATTTTCTATGAGCTAGAAAAATCACAAAACTAAAATTATTAGAATAGATTTTCTAAAGTATGCTCTACAAAAAACTAGGACTGGAGAGTCTCCACAGAAAAAGATTTCATAATCAAGGAAGTCTGGGAAAGGATGTACACTCTCCCTTTTGGAAACTCACTATGCCTATTAGCACAGCAATGGCTCTGAAAAGCCCTATAGTAAAGAAACCTGTTAAACGCTGTTTAACCTAGTATTTCCCAGTCTTAACTGGATACAAGTTTTTCCCTCCACGCTTTTCAAATAATGTCCCAACACTGATGACTCTAAAATATTTTCTCAGAGTGGGCAGTATCCCCCTAATGCTTTTCCCCCTCTTTCTTCCCAGCAAAATCTTGGTAATTTAAGGCCATCATATGATAATGTTTTCCTTAAAGGAACAGAAATATTTTCCTTGAACCCCATTACCAACATCAATATTAGAATTTCAGTAGCATAATACTGTTGAAAATATAGTGTCTTACAGTTTAGGAAACACATTATCATATTCGATCCTCACAATAAACCTATGATGCAGGTAATTATGAGGCTCTGAGAGAATGTGCCATTTGCTGAAGCAAAGCTATTAAGCGATCAGGTTGGGACAGGTCTTCTGACTCCAAGTCTTTTGACCGATGCACTCTACCCCAAAATCAATGTGCAGCAGGAGGGGGAAACGGCACAATATCGAAACCTGAACCGCCTTCTCAACACTGGGCTAAAGATTCTCCATTGACTAAACTCAGTTGCAGCCAAATTAATTGTTGCTCCATAGTCAATAAATCAGTGTAGTAACGGACTGTAAATGGACTTTGTAATGTGGTAAATGGACTTTGTCAGGAATATGCATTACTAAGAAATTGCTCCCCTTTTCCAAAGCTCAAAACTTGACTTTTCAGACTGTCACTGTTTTACAGTAGTGCCAAGATGTTGCTTTTGAATGAAACGGAAGACACATATTTCTGCCAGGGAAGACCTGCAGTCACTCACAGCAAAGGTTACCAGAATTCACACTGTCTCTCTCACTAGAACAGCAGATTAGTCAACTAAATATTCGCTAACAAACTGTCACTGCTTTCTAAAGGGAACTTTGTCTAACTGCAGAACATTGCAACAAATGCTCTTCTTATCAGATACGTAATCAAAGTGAAACAAGATCATACTTTGAAAGAAAGAATTTTAAATAGGAAAGAGATGCCACAAAGACAGAAATATCTACTGAAGATATTCTAATCACCTAACCATTTTGTTCTCGCTCTAAAATTAAAAGAATAAAAATCCCACTGCTAAAAGTAGAAGGTAAATAAATTAATTCTGGAAAAGGGTGAGCTTTCAAACCCATAAGTGGAAATTTGAGAAAGGTACCTTTTCTTAACAAAACATTTCAGGCATCCTAAAAGGCAAATCAAATACCCAGATCCCACCTATACCACCAACTTAAGCAACAAAACATTACAGATGCAACTGGAGCCCTGTGTGACTCCTCCCAGATCCCTTTCTCTTCCCTCAGAGGGAACTACTATGTTGAATGCAGTGTTTGTCTTTCCCATGTGTACAGTAACAAGTTTCTCATGTTGATTTTTACAAATTTAATTTTATATATTCTTTTGAATACATAATACCTACAGTACACAATTCAAAAGTAGAGAAGGACATACTGTGAAATTTCCCCCTGCTACCCAGTTCCCCGCCCCTGAACAACTAATTGTAACACAGTTTCATGTGTACCTTTAGACACTCGGCACATACATAAGCAGTTACACTTAGGTACATACTTGCCCCTGCTTTTATACACAAATGGTAGGTATACTATATACATTGTTCTACTATCCCCTTATTTTGCCTCTTAAAAATACACCAGTGGCCCAGTGGCACAGTGGTTAAATTCACACATTCCACTTCAGTGGCCCGGGATTCGCTGGTTTGGATCCCAGGTGCGGACCTACGCACTGCTTGTCAAGCCAAGCTGTGGCAGGCGTCCCACATATAAAGTAGAGGAAGATGGGCACGGATGGTAGCTCAGGGCCAGTCTTCCTCAGGAAAAAGAGGAGGATTGGTGGCAGATGTTAGCTCAGGGCTAATCTTCCTTAAAAAAAAAAATACACCTGGGAAATTGTTCTCTAAATTATATAAAGTCTCTTGCTTTTTTTTCCTTAACGTGTACAAAGTATATCACTGCATAGATAAAACATAATTTAACTACTATCCTATTAGAAAGATTACTTCCAATCTTTTGTATTTACAAACAATACAACAGTGAATAACTCATTATTTCACACACGAGTATATCTGCAGGATGAATTCCTAGAAGTTGAATTGCTGTCACACTCTATAGAGGTGGTACCAATTTATACTCCCACCAGCAAGTTATGAGTGTTTTTGCATGTTTTTAAAATTTATATAAATAACATGACTGTACATATTCTTCTACTTCTGCTTTTGTGGTCTAATCTTATATACTTGAGATTCACCCATGCTATATATAGCTCTAGCTCATATACAGATTTCTAACTTAAAGAAATGTTTAAATAACTTGTATTATAATTCATTCACAAAGAGAACACACACCTATTTACCTGAAATTGCAATTTTATGTAGAACTACTCACCAACTTAATAAACAGGTTTTATGTGTTAACAACTCATTTGCCAAAGACCATCCATGTCACTAAAGAGAGTCTTCTCTTCTCTTGGAAAACTAACAAAAACTGCCATTTTAATTTACTGCAATAGTGACATGACTTTATTCATCCATGCTTTTATAACTGTTCAGATAATTCAAGCATAATCCCAAACTAATCCTAGTTGTCTATTTAAACTTTCCCCTCAAAATGTTACAATTAAGTTACCGAAGGATTTTTTTTTTCTAGCCTGTAAAAGGAAACAAAATAATTACTATGAATTTACACTCCCCTCCCCCCCAAAATTAAATTTCCCCTAAGCCCGGAATATCATATTGGGAATTTTTCTGCCTATCCTCAACATCACATCTTCTATTAGATTCCTTTTCTCTGTTCAATTTACCAAGGTGTATAATTTTAAAAGCTTTATCTCCTCTAAATTGTCTGCACTGAAACATATGGCTAATCGTATTATTCATAAGAATTCTTGTCAAATTAAAGCTAGGGTAAGTTACTGCTACCACTATAGTAGCTATTTTTGCCTGCTCGGCAAGCATCTATGTCCCCCTTTCTCTCTCCTAACAATTAATACTCATTTCTGTGTAGGTAGCTACCCCATCTCCTTACACTATCCAAGCACTTCAGAAGAAGATGCACCCCCCCCACACACACACATCCAACAGTGGGCCATATTCCTCCAAGGGTAATGCCATCTCCCTTGCTAGTGCCAACTTAGGAACAAGTCTGAGCCAACTGGCATCTCCGGCCAGAGTGACTGGATGAGCCATGAGATCCATGATAGATATGCTGGAGCTTCCTTGCTCTGGAGAGAGAACCACAGAGATGTTCTTGACAGGCTGAGCTGGATTTTCCATCACTTGGGGGGAAAAGCATCCCAATTGTTTAACAACTTAAAAAATGCACTAGTTGAGCATTCTGACCAACATCAACTAAAGTATTTATGAACAAACGTAATCATACCTATGAAACCTGTGATGCTTTGACTAATATTGGCCTTTCTATATTTGGAGAGGTTGCTGACTTTGCCAGTGTGTGGTACTTCAAGAGTCACCTGCGCGGAGTGAAGGTTAAGGAACAGCAGTCACTAGAGGGATTCACGTCCCAGCCACAAGACAGATCAAATCCAGAAAATGAAAAATTTCCTCTTGCTTTCCTATCTGCCATGCCAAAAGCCATCTAGTAAATAAGAATATGGGAGCTGACTCTGTTCAGGTCTATATTAGGAGAAAAATGAGCTCCCTAATCCAGGCAGAACTCTGGGCAGGGTGAAGGCATCAAAAGTGTCATCACTATTTGGGGCACATTAATGAGCATTTCCTACAAATACTTGTAAACTAAAAGCAGTTGGTAACCACTAACAAGACGCAGCATAGCCAAAAGTAAATAAATAACTTCAAGGGCACAGAAACATCTTACTGGCCTAATAGAGACCCACCCTAATGGCTCAGTATCCTATTCTGGCATTTGCTTCTGACCTTACATTGTTGGCCTTGCTGATTTTCATAAGAAGGTTTAGGCAGTTGCTTGCCTGTGGGCTGGCTATACGGCAATTTTCCAGTTCTATGACTCAGAAAGGGCAAGAGAAGGAAGGGTTCTCCTCTTCCATCCCTAGATAAAATCAGAAAATGTTTATTTAGCTCTGGGACAGCAAGGTTCAGTCAATTCACCGTACAGACTTTCACAAACTCTTTTTTCTTTAAAGTCAAATATTTACCAGGAGCTTAACGTATGCAAGTCATAGTCTATCATTTATCCAAAACCAATGGGCAAGTTATTTTGATCAGTTCCATACTTCCTTCTTCTATATCCCTAATAACAGTAAAATATTTTAAAGAAAAAAAATATGTATGCCTCACAAAATCTGCAATTAAACTTTTTGTGCCAGAATTGGTGAACTGGAGACCAAGTTCGTTATTTCCAGAATACTATGTTGAAACACAAGGGTAATAGATTCTACGCTTTTCTTTAAAAAAATTAAAAAGTTCACATGATGTACACTGAATTGTTTATTAAAATGTAAATATCGTGTGAAAATACGACTGCATTAATGAAGAAATACTATCTGGAGGCAATATCTGCACCACCTACCAGGTTTGGCACAGAGACTGCAAAACTGATCATTCAGAAACACCGAAGGGCCGGAGTCTGCATCCAGAACACAAACCCCACAACGCAAATATAGGACCGGTTTATACTCACTAACTGCTCCGAAAACAATGAGTGATCCTTCCGACGACATGGCCTTTTTTTTTTTTAATTCTGCAAGCTACTCCCAAAGCAGCCTAATTTGGGGGGAACACATTATTTCACAGTTGAGAGTCGGCCGGGTCAGGTAAGTCGACAGCCTCCTCCAGAGGACGGAAACACGGACAATGCCGAGCAGCGATGGGCTGGCCCCGGGCCGAGGGCTCACGGCCGGGCGCAGGGAGGCCACCCCCGCCGCTCCGGGCAGAGGCCGGCACCCCCACCCCGCGCTCGGAGCGCGCCGCGAGCCCCGGACCGCCCCACCTGGGAAAGTTCGCACCTCCGCATCCCCGCCCCGCGCCCCGACGAGCCCCTCGGGCCGCGGCGCCGTCGCCATGGCGACGCCCCCCTCACCCCCGCCCAGCCTGGGAGGGCCGCATCGCAGTCCCGCGGCGGCCTCGGGCTCCGCTCCCGCCGGAGGCAGGACATGGACTGCCGAGCCCGGGGGACGAGGCACGCAGGGGACGGGGGAGGATGCAGGGGTGCGGGAGGCGGAAGTCGCCCGGATCCCGGGCTGGGGCCGAGCCTTGCCCCGGGGGTGCTCACCCTTCACTTTGCCGAACGTGCCGACCCCCAGCGTGTCCCCCAGGATGTAGTGGCCGATCTTCACCCGCCCGTCGTGTTTCTGCTTCTCGGCTGTCGCCATCTTTCTCCAGGAACTGAGTCTGCGCATGGCGCCGCGGGAGGGGGCGGAGGGGGCGGGCAGGGCCGCGCCGGGGGCGGGCGGCCGGCGAGGGAGGGGGTGGGGACGCGGGAGGGGAACCGCGCCGCCGAGACGCCACCCGGCGCCGCCCGCCCGGTCCCCGCCGCGGGCCGTCGGGCGCAGACGCTCCCCCTGGCGGGGCGGGGCGGGGTCGCTGGGAGGGGCCCCGGTACCCCCTTCCTCGCCCTGCATCCTTTCGGCCCCGGGCGCCCGCCCACCTGCGGGCGGGAGGGGGCTTCCTGGCTTGCAGAGGAGGGCGGCAGCCCCTTGGTTCCTGTCCGCTCTGGCTGAGTCTCTGCCCGCAGTAGTCTCCCTGGGTTATTCCTCCTGGGTCGAGGAGACTGCTCTCCCTGTGATTCCAAGGTGGGGAGACGGGCACTGTAGAAGCCCCCTTGGGTAGGACAGATGTGTGGCTTGTTCCTAGTACAGCGTGAATTGAAACATGGCAGGGGACAACGCCCTGCCACCGTTTCTAACCTTTTCATTTTTCCTGTTCGGATGGAATCTAGAAGCCGTTGGGAGTTGTCACTTGGATCTTTGATGGAGTTCTCCCTTCCTCCCCCGCCCCCCGGCCTCGCCGCTCTTTTTTTACTTTGAGCCAGTGAGTTGCTGTTGGGCACCTCCGCAGCTCAAGCGGCGTCGTCCGTCTCTCCTCGCGCTAGACGCTCCTGTGAAATTTCGTCCCCGAAGCAAGCTCTGTTGGAAGGAGCAGGTTGGGCATATCTGTGAATGTATGTGTGTTCGGGAAGTGGGATGTTACCTAGACATTTTGATGTATAGGAATTAATATTTTTAGATTATCAGTAAAATGTAGACTTTGAGCTGAAGACGAGGCTTACGGTTGCGTCAACCAAATCAATCGACAAATATTTATTTTACTTACAACGAGTAAGATTTAGTCTTATCTATAGAAATGGGATCATGTCATATCACAGGGGAGGTGAGAAAGTATGCTTATTTGTAATCGAATTTTTAAGTGAGTTTGTTACTCAATTATATTCCTCTAACATGGGCAAAATCAAGTGTCCAAAAAACCAGTTTATATGGTTTCAGTTTTGCAGTGTCATAGCATTTGGGCCAGTGTTAATGGACAAAGAGTTGGACTCTTCATGAAAATAATATTTTTAAAAAAGACTAAAAATGTTGGCGTTTCAGTCAGAGAAAGACGATCTCTATATGACTCCACTCATAGGTGGAAGTTAGTATATTGATAAGGAGATCTGATCGGTGGTTACCAGGGAAAAGGGGGGGTGGGGGGAGGGCACAAAAGGGGAAGTGGTGTACCCACAACATGACTAACAAAAATGTACAACTGAAATCTCACAAGGTTGTAATCTATCATAACATTAATAAAAAAAAAAAAAAAGTTGGCGTTTTTCTTCCCAACGAAAGTTACCCAACTCTCCTGACTTTTATAGACTTTCTATTTACGAAATCAAAATAACATGCATTAAGCACTGCTTTGCTCCAAGTGAGATACTGGAGAGGAAGAAAAAGCTTTTGAGCTTACACTTCCATCAAATAAGCAGAGAACAGTTACCACAAGCCTTGGATCAGCTCCTACTGTGTTATGGACTGCACATATTTTTTCTTTTCTGCTTTATTTCCCAAACCCCCTGGTACATAGCTGTGTATCTTAGTTGCAGGTCCTTCTAGTTGTGGGATGTGGGACCCGCCTCAACGTGGCCTGACAAGCGGTGCCATGTCCACACCCAGGATCCGAACCCTGGGCCGCCGCAGCAGAGCATGCGAACTTAACCACTCGGCCACGGAGCCGTCCCCTGCACATATTTTGAAGGGCCAAAAAAGTTAAGAAATCTTTGATTACTGAGATATGTGTGGGGCGGGCAGTGGTTGCTGTTGTAATTTTTGCTCCCTGGTTTCTTCACCTTTACCTGTTTGCCTTGTGAGTTTCTGCAGCTCAGGCTTTTTGGATCTCTACAAAGCGGAAATAGCTCTCTGGATTCTCTTAGGGAAAAAAAACCTAACTTTTGCCCCCAGAAATAGCATCTTAAATTACTTTAAATTTGCATCATGTCTAGAATTTAGCCTAGCAAGGTTCTGTTATTTCTTTTAACCTAAAAGAAAAAAGTCACAAGGTACCTCAGCTCTATATGGTGCCCGTTAAACCACAGAGCATCTTACAGGGGGGCAAACTGAAGCTGAATTTTGCAAACTCATCGCCAGTCTCTTCATGAAACTATGAAGACCCAATTAAGACAGTTATATAGGGGCCGGGCGGTGGCGCAGCGATTGAGTTCACATGTTCTGCTTCAGCGGCCCGGTGTTCGCCAGTTTGGATACCCGGTGTGGACATGGCACCTCTTGGCAAGCCATGCTGTGGCAGGCATCCCACATATAAAGTGGAGGAAGATGGGCACGGATGTTAGCTCAGCGCCAATCTTCCTCAGCAAAAAGAGGAGGATTGGCAGCAGACGTCAGCTCAGGGCTAATCTTCCTCAAAAAAAACAAAAACAAACAAAAGTAATATGAACATTTTTTAGCAGAAACATCAGTTTGTTTCTGCTTTGGTGTTATTTTAGATTATAATTTTACTTAATAAATATTCATTAAATGCCACTAGTCACTCAAAAGCATTGTTGCAGAAATAAAACCTAGAATCATAGATCAAAGAATTGAATAGGAACTTAGAGGTTTTCTTATCCAATCTTCCATAGTCTCTGTTTTAGCAGCTTTTATTTTTTCCTTAAGTTGAGTTAAAAAGTGAATTCAATTAACAATGTCTAAGAAAGTGAATAGTAAGCCTCCTTTATTCCTTTGCTTTTTCTCTTTCCTTCATTTCTTTTTAGAAGTTTTTGTCACATTTTTTCCCACCGGCATTCTTCCAGTATAGAAGTGAAGATAGGTAAACTGTGGCTTACACCCAGTTTCTGGTCCCTTCAGTTGTAACTCTACCGCTATCTTAGCAAAGTATATTGGCATATAAGTAAGCAGGAGTGACTTTACAGAAGTAACCTTGAATCCACTCTAGTTTGAGAGAGGGGCTAAAAGTAAATTCTTTTTGTTTTTTGAGCAAGATTAGCCCTGAGCTAACTACTGCCAGTCCTCCTCTTTTTGCTGAGGAAGCCTGGCCCTGAGCTACCATCCGTGCTCATCTTCCTCTACTTTAGATGTGGGACGCCCACCACAGCATGGCGTGCCAAGCGGTGCCATGTCCGCACCCAGGATCCTAACCAGCGAACCCCACGCCACTGAGAAGCAGAACGTGCGAACTTAACTGCTGCGCCACTGGGCCAGCCTCTAAAAGCAAATTCTTTTCCAACTTCAGTACTTCAGCTTTTATTAGTACAAATACATTACAGTACACCTCAGCACTGATGTAGACATACCAGGATGACCCAACATGGTGGTGGATAACCTCCAGTCTCCTGGACGAGCTCAGTAGTTAGTTGTGAGGGGCTTCCTCTGTAGCCCTTCAGAGATTCTAAGGGAGTGGGGGTGCTCTTAGTCTTTTCTTCTTGAGGCCGTGATAGTGTTGGTAGACCCTCCACTGTCAGGTGGATATTACACTTCCTTATTGTCTATCTCTAAATATGGTGGTCAGAACTAAACACCTGAAGTACTATGGTGCTATTAATGCAGCCTAATATTTCCTTAGCTTAGTTGTAGTTACATTGTAACTAATATTCAATATTTATTAAACAACAACCAGGTAGGTATTAGGCAGTTTACAGGACTCTGAGGACTCAAAGAACAAAAGAACACGGTATCTGCCTTTGAGTGGTAAAGTAATGTGATAGGTGCTATAATAAAAACATATATATGGTCCTAAAAGGGCATCATGAGAGGAGGATATAATCTTTATCTGTGGGGGTCCACAAAGACTTGAACTTGAATATATTTAAAGGAGTATTAAGAGATGGTGTTTTCTACTCAAAGAAAAAGGTGGCTTGGGGGATGGAGGAATTTGGGGAAAGCATCCCAAATGCTCTGCCCGGGTGAGGGATGAGCATATGCAGAATCACAGCTTTAGCTTTTTAGGGAAAAGCAAGTGGTTACAGGGGATGAAATCTGATTGCACAGAGGGACTTGTTAGAAGAAACGAGAGGTAAACAGGACTAAATCCCGGAAGGCCTCACATGTGCTTCTCAATTTGGACATATTATCTTATAGAGATCCTCCATGGGAGGGTGTGAAGTAGATGCATTTTACAAATACATTCTTTACCAAGGAAATTGATACCTATGGGTGCCTTTGGGGAGGGCAACTGGGTGACTCAGAGTCAGGTGCAAGGGAGAGACTTTCCCCTGGGTATCCTTTTGTAACTTCTTGGTTTTGAACCTTATGCATTTATTACAGAGTTGAAAAAATTAACTGTTAGAAAAATTTTTTACACTCTGACTTTAGTGTGGAGGATAGATTGAGTGGTGAAACAGGAGGCTTGCAATCATCTTGTGAAGAAATGATGAGACGGGCACCATGCATGCAAAGGGAAAACTCAAGACCTATTTAGAAGTGGAATTAGTGAGGTATAGAGATTGGTGTAGACAGAGAGGAAAAGGAGGGAATCTTGATTACCTCCCAAGTTTCTGGAGTGATTATCGGGGGATGGGGAATGGAGATTCATAGAAATAGTGAATTCTGTTTGTAACATTAAGGCATCTAAGAGACATTCAGGTAAAGAGACCCAGGATAGACTGGCAATATGGGTCTATTACTCCAAAGAAAGGTCAGTCTAGAGGTACAAATTGGGTGTCATCACAAACAAATGGCAGATGAAGCAGGGCAGTGAGTATGGATGAGATCTCCTCAGTTTGTAGAGTCAAGGGATCCAAGAACCGAAAACTTACTGAGAGAGTTTGGATAAAAGAAGATCCAGGAGCAGTGTAAGCCTATGGAAGAGAAAGAAAGGCAGTCAGTTTATATCAGAAAAAATAATTATATTAGAAGCTCCCCAGGAAGTTACAGTGATTAAAATTAGTTTGTGGATAATTGTCTCCTGTTTAACGAGGGTGGATGATTCCTAACTCCGGGTTTGAAATCTTTTTAGGTTAAAATGTTTGCAACCCCCTCATGATGATGAATTTTAAGCTTCAATTACCCTTGTAGAAATAGGCCCAGAACTGTTTTCTAGAGAAAGTCTTAGCACTGTTCACAAGGACTCCCTTGACCCATGTCTTGGTAGATGTGGTTGGTTGGTCCTGGTTAGGTTCCTTCCTGTTGACAAGAAAATGTCAGTCTCGCCCACCTCTCAGGTGACTTGCTGAGTATCAGGCATGTGGATCAATCTGTGATCAGCAGCACAAAGTATATTCGTTCACCAGAAAGTGTGGCTCTCAACTCCTTGCTGCCCTATTCTAATCAGTTAAGGGAAATAATATCCTTGGATAGATGCTTGAAGGATAGACTGATAGTCTAATTGTACCCTTGGATCACTTGAGACGATCAGAGACAGAGGTAATTGGACTATCCTGTTCCTAGTCACTGTTAGAACTTGTTTTTACTCAATTTGGTAATACAAGGGGCTGGTAAACATGGATGCTTTGAATAGGCTAATAATTTGGTTCTGCATTCAGACTAGTAATATGGTCCCCTTCAAAACAATATTCTTGGCTCAACATTTATTTCAGTGAAAAGGCAGAGAAAGAGGACTGTTGGAGCCGTGTCCCAGGGAACAAAGACCCTGTGGTTACTAGACCTTAACTTCTTAGCCAGCAGTTAACACACCATCTAAGTGTGCATTTTGTGGAGTGGGGAGGTCTTATCCCACCCCGGGTGATTTATCAAAGTAGTTCTCGTAAACCACATCCTTCTGAGAAGAACTCAGTAAGTAAAAATCCCAGGCATGCTTTGGCCCCCAGGATGTGTAGCATCCCTTGTAGACTGGCTCCTGTGCAGCTGCCCAGCTGAGCCTCCTCTCGTCTGCTGCTGCTGTCCTCTGTCCTCAGTGCAGGAGTGTACTGAGGGAGGCTCTAAGACACAGACATGCAAAGCGTCTTTACTTCAGCCGACCCCACTTTACAGCCTACCTCTAACAAAGACATACTTGCTAAAGGCGTGCACATGAGTATTCTAACCTCATCCCTGGATTTATTGTATCTTCCGTACTCTGAGTTCTTTATTTCCTCATTTATTCATTATTTACTTTGCTGGGTATTATTACTCTCTAGACTTCCCAGATGCCTTTTTTAGTAGACTTTATTTTTTATAACGGCTTTAGATTTACAGAAAAAAGTGTGAAGATAGTACAGGGTTCTCATATACTCACACTCAGTTTCCCCTATTATCAACACCTTACATTATGTGGTACATTCATTACAATTAATGAAAAAATGAACCAATATTGATATGTTGTCATTAACTAAAGTCCATACTTCATTTCAATTCCTTTAGTTTTTCCCTAGTGTCATTTTTCTGTCTCAGGGTCCCATCCAGGACACCGCGTTACATTTAGTTGTCATGTCTCCTTAAGCTCCTCTTGGCTGTGACAATTCCTCAGATTTTCCTTGTTTCTGAGGACCTTGACAGGATGGAGGTGTATTGGTCAGGTATTTTGTGGAATGGCCCTCTGTTGGAATTTATGTTTTCTCATGGCTAGACTGGTGTGTCATGGGATTTGGGCAGGAAGAACGCAGACAATGGTCCATTTTAATCGCCTCATATCAAGGATTCTTATTATCCACCTGATTTATCGCTGTTGATGTTGACCCTGACTACCTGGCTAAGGTTGTGTTTGTCAAGTTTCTCTACCTTACAGTGACTCTTTTTTTCCTCCTTCCTGCAGTGTAGTCTTTGGAAGGAAGTGCCTAGACATGGCCCACCCTTAAGGATTGGGGAGTTATGCTCCCCGCTCCTTTAGGGTTGGTTATCTACATGAATTATTTGGAATTCTTCACAGGAGATTTGTCTTTCCTCTCCCATTTATTTATTTGGTCAGTCATTTATTTATAGCAGTATGGACTCATGAATATTTACTTTATACCCTGGGTTATGATCCAGTACTCCTTCATTTTGTTGCTCACATCATTCCAACTTTGGTCATTGGGTGCTCTTTCAGTTGGCTCCTGTATCCCTTTGACATATGTCCATCAATGTAGTTTTTATTGTTTGTTTGTTTGTGTAGCACTTCCTTACTTTCTGGTGTTACAAGATATTCCAGGCTCATCTTGTATACTTCCTGCCCCAGTCCTAGGATCAGCCATTTCTCCAAGGTGTCCTGGTTGGTTTTATTGGAGAGTGGTCTTAGAAACCAAGATTTGGTTCTCAGAGCGTCTTTGCTTCTAGACCCTCTCAGCTGACAGAACAAGGAAATATATGTGTGTATACTAACCAATAAATATACCCCATCTCTAAATATTTCTGTATGTGGAACCACCCCATCTATATTAAGCTAAACATGGCTTCATACTGATCCATGCAACCAACTCTAATCCATTACCTCATGCATCATTCTAGCCTCTTCCCTTTGCTTATCTGTAAACTCCCACTCCGACAGTGAGAAACCTAGCTTCCATGATCTAACATCCGTTTACTTAATTGCTCAATTCGAGTATACATGTAGGGAAGCATCAGGATTGTTAACCTTCCTCCTGTGGATATCAATTTTATTAACTTAAGTCTAGTACTGGTGTGCAGTTCCTTTTATCTTTTGTCTTACAGACTCTACTCATTTCCAAGTGGTAATCTTGGACTCCCTATTTCCTCAGGTAAGTACCTGTTCCCTCTACCCTCTTCAGTGAGGCCGTTTCCTACCATACACATAGATTATGTTGTCGCAATCACTCCTACTCACCTTGTTGGTGAGGGAGAAATTCCCTCCCCAGGGTTATGGGGATGGCCAAACACACAACACCCAACACAGGACAGATATATTGACAGCAGTCTTTTGGTCACATAAAGTCAAGCCTAGGGGAAGAGTGCAACACACTATTCAGGACCACACGAGGGATGCACTTAGGAACAAGTGAACAACCAGAGGCTTTGGAAGGCAGGCTTTGTAGTATCAAGAGGGTGAGGTGCCCACTTGTTCCTGTGAAGAATGTGATTAGTTTTTTGAAGAATTCCACAAACTGGAGGGGAGCTGAAACCCACTACTCAGGCATTAGCACTAACTGTGCCTGGCCCTTTGGGAAGGAAGGTTGTTTGGCTGGAGGGACTTATGTATAGGAGAAGAATGGGGAGTGGAACTTACAGTTAGGCCATTTGAGGCCCCCCTTTTATCAGACGTCAAAGCAGCCTATACTGTTGAGCCTTAATATTAGGCCTTACACCACATACTCCCAAAAGATTTTGTAAAATTTGCCTGCCTTAAGGTTCACTTTGTGCTGTGAAGTTCTGTGGGTTTTGACCACTGTACGATGTCATGTATCCACTATTACGGTATCATACAGAATATTTTCATCACCCTAGAAAATCCCCTGTGCTTCACATATTCAACCCTTCTCCTCTTTTTCATGACTCTCTCATTTTCCTTTTTCAGAATGTCATATAATTGGAATCCTACATCATGTAGTCCTTTCACACTGGCTTCTTTTCCTTAGCAATATCCATTTAACGTTCATTTGTATCTCTTCTGTCACCCTTAAATGCTTTTGAAGCAAGGAAAATATAACATTTAAAAATTTAAGGAAGATTAGTCTCCATTCTAAAATACTTTCTTCCAATATTTTTAAATATTTTATACTTTTTAAAAGAATCTTGGGGCCAGCCCCGTGGCTGAGTGGTTAAGTTCATGCGCTCCACTTTGGCAGCCCAGGGTTTCGCCAGTTTGAATCCTGGGCGCCAACATGGCACTGCTTGTCAAGCCATGCTGAGGCAGCATCCCACGTGCCACAACTAGAAGGACCCACAACTAAAATATACAACTATGTACTGGGGTGCTTTGAGGAGAAAAAGGAAAAATAATAAAATTTTTATTCAAAAAAAAGAAAAATCTTATGATGGTACAGCTTTGTTAAAAGTTATGTTAAATGTATCAAAAGGATATACTATGAAGAACTGAGCTGTTATGTAGCTTTGGTAGTTTCCTCAATAACTAATAAATTATATAAGTAAGAAAAGGATTAAAGATCTGATTTTTGTCTTTTTCAGTAAGGAATATTATTCCTTACATCTGTAACCAGTACATGAAATGACTAATTTAATTCTCATATTGTTTATTATTTCTCTTCCATAGGGTAAAACCCAATTAAATTCAAGTATATTGTGAAATGTGTAGAGCTTTTAATTTCAGAAATTAAGTTGGTTTTATAGAGGAATTTAATTTTCTTTGTGTTAGGAATTTGTTCTAAATCTGGTATATTTTATTTTTACTGAAATGGTTCTAGATTACTTGAGTCTGAAATTTTAACTTGGAGAATCTTCTAGGTGTCTTACTGGATCACGTACATTATAATTAACCTTTACTAAAAGACTTTTTTCTGGAATTAATACTTTGTCATGTTTTTGACTTGCTTACATTTCTATGTACTTATCATAAATTAAACCCAAACTTTCTACCAATTGTCTAAAATGTTCTCTCAAGACATCGAAATGCATGAGGCTTATAATATGCAGAAAGTGTTAATACTTTGTAATATTTTTTGTTTGCTTAGTTTTCCATGTACTTATCATTGATTCAACCTAAACTTCCATCAATTGTCTAAAATCTCTCAAGACACTGAAACATGTAATGTGCATTATCAGTTTGATCCTGAACACGACTCTTGTAGAGCTTTCTTAGCTGCTTCAGTCATTTGCCTTCTAGACCGTTTCAGAGTTTTCACCCAAGAATCTGCCTTCGCCACCGTCCTGGAGATTCCCTTTACCTCTCTTTTAGGTTAGATTTATTGTTTCCTGTAATCATGGTTTCCCATTTTTTGTTTTTGTTTTTTATCCTCGGTTTTGGTGGGACATATCCAGCTAGTAGTTTTATGAAAAACACTCAGCATGGCTTGCTGAGTGGTGTGTATGTCCACACCCAGGATCCGAACCGGCGAACCCTGGGCCACCGAAGTGGAGCACATGAACTTAACCACTACACCACCAGGTCAGCCCCAAAATTCATTTTTTCAGGTGTCTAGTTCAATGAGCTTTGAAAAATATTTACAGCTGTGTAACTACTACCACAATCAAGATATAGAATACCTCTATCACCCCGAAAAATTCCCTTGCACCCTTTTGATTTCTGTCCACATAATTTTGCCTTTTTCAGAATATCATATACAGAAAACTACACGGTATATAGCCTTTTGTATCCAGCTCCTTTCACTTTGCACAACCCTTTTGAGATTCATCCATGTGAATGTTGTTGCATGTTTCAGTAGCTTATTGCTTTTTATTGCTTAATAGTATTCCATTGTATGAATATGCCAAAATTTATTTATCCATTCTCTAGTTATGATGTTTGGGTTGTTTCTGGTTCTTGGAGTAGGAATAGCCTGTTACAAACATTCATATGTAAGTCTTTGCATTTTCATTACTTTGAATAAATACTCGAGTGAAATCCTGGAGTTTTATAGTAGGTATATATTTAACTTTATAAGAAACAGCCAAATTGTTTTCCAAGGTGGCTGTATCATTTTGCATTTCCACCACCAATGAATGAGCATTCCAGTTGTTCCTCATTAGCACTTGGTATTGCCAATTTTTATTTATTTTTTATTTTAGCTACTCTAGCAGATGTGTAGTGCTTTGTCAGCTATGTCATTGTGGTTTTAATGTGCCTTTCCCTGATGACTAAAGATGTTGAGCATCTTTTCATGTGTTTGTTTGCCATGCGTATTTATTCTTTGGTGAACTATCTGTTCAAATCTTTTGCCCATTTTAAAAACTGGGCAATTTGGGGGCCAGCCCAGTGGCATAGTGGTTAAGTTCGTGAGCTCCACTTTGGTGGCCCAGGGTTCCCAGGTTCCAATCCTGGGTGCGGACCTACATACCGCTCATCAAGCCGTGCTGTGGTGGTGTACCACATCCAAAATAGAGGAAGATTGGCATAAATGTTAGCTCAGGAAGAGTCTTCCTCAAGCAAAAAGAGGAAGACTGGCAACAGATGTTAGCTCAGGGCCAATGTTCCTCACAAAGCAAAAAAGAAAAGAGTAAACTGGACAATTGTTTTTTTAATTATTAAGTTCTTCTGAATACAAGTCATTTATCATATATGTTTTCATATATTTTCTCCAAGCCTGTGTCTTGTCTTTTTATTTCCTTAATTATGTCTTTTGAAGAACAGAAATATTTAGTTTTCGTTTGTTTTTTTTTTCTGAGGAAGATTTGCCCTGAGCCAAGACCTGTTGCCAATCTGCCTCTTTCTGCTTGAGGAAGATTGGCCCTGAGCTAACATCTGTGCCATCTTCCTCTGTTTTGTATGTTGTTCGCCACCACAGCATGGCTGCCAATGAGTGGTATAGGTCCGCACCTGGGAACCAAACTCAGGTTTGCAGAGAGCACCAATCTTAACCACTAGGCTGTGGGGCCAGCTTCCTATTTAGTTTTTATGAAATCCAGCTTACCAATTATTTCTTTTATAGATTGTGCTTTTTATGCCATATCTAAGAAAACTTTGCCTAACACAGGGTCACAGAGATTTTCTGTTTTTCTCATGGAATTTTATAATTTTAGGCTTTACATTTAGGCTTTTGATGCATCTTGACTTCATAGTGCAAGACAAGCTTTGAGATATTTTTATTTAGAAACTTTTTTGGTATATGGATGTTCAGTTGTTCCAGGGATATTTGTTGAAAAGACTCCTCTTTCTCCATTGAATTATCTTGGGACCTTTGTTAAAAATCAATTTACCATATAATTGTGGACCTGTTTCTGGAATCTGTTATGTTCTATTGATTTATATCTACTCTTACACCAATACTACAGTATCTTGACTACTATAGCTTTTTAACAGCTCTATTACTATTCCATTTAAGGACATACTGCAGTTTATTTAACTCAGCCTCTACTTATGGGATTTAGTTGTTTCTATTTTTTTACATGACAAATAATGCAACAAATGCCCTTGGGCATGTAACTTTGTGCCCTTGTGAGAGTGCTTGTGTAGGATCCATGTTTAGAATTGAGAATACTGGGTCAATGTTTCCCCACGTTTTCCCCTAGTAATTGGGTCTAGTTTCAGGTCCAGACCCACATAGGTCAGCTTATGGTGTAATTAACTAGGCTGTGGGTGGCTAGTTCTAAGGTACTGTGTCTGATCTTAAACCTCGCCATTTAGCCTACTAACTCTGTGTTAAAGCAAAGATTTCCCACTTTCTTTTTGGTTAGTTCATGTGATCTATAGAAAGGTGCTTCCTGTTGAACTCAAAAATAAGAGTACTCTTTCAGAGTTAGAGAAAGTTATTTGTCAGGCCAACAGGAACATTCTGCTTATTTGACAGTTACATTTTGGATCAACTGGCAAGCTTATTTTCAAATGATTCTTATTATCTGTGGGTGGATTAATTAGTTTGCTGTTTAACCACAGAGGCAGGTGAAGTGCATGGAGTGGTGGAGAAGTTGAGTAGATGGAGAAAGTCTGACCTTGAGATTGAACCTGAGCCCACGTAGTAGGCATCTCAGGACCATGCCTTCTCTGCTCCCTCTGCCTTTCAACCTAATCCCCACCAAGTAGCTGCTGAGCCTCAAGTAGAGGTAATCTCCAAGTGGTTAACCCCACCCCTACCTGGATAATACGAGCTGACTGTAATTTTGTCTTAAACATGATATCGGCTTATCCATGACCACTCTCCCCTTTTCCAAACCCTTCTTGGTTCACTGATGTATTCCCAATGCCTAGGTCAGTGCCTGGCACATAGACAGTGTTCAGTTTACATTTGTAGATAGAATGTTCTTAAAAATAAGTTTATTGATTATTCATCCATCTTGATGACTTGGTTAATATGAACTTCACTTGAGAGAGAAACCACCCTCATTGCTCTAATCAAATCAAATTTCTGAGCCTACAGTGCTATAGAGTCTGTAACATATAGCACAGACCATTGACCGTGGTGAATTCACCAAGATGCATATTGTCTTATAGGGTTTTGTCTTCCTGCTATTAACACAGTGATATCCATTATCCAGGGAATGATACCTATAAAGAAATAATAAAGATTGCTAGTGTTTATCAAACTCTGGGGCCAGCCCCGTGGCCAAGTGGTAAAGTTTGCATGCTCTGCTTTGGCAGCCCAGGGTTTCACCTGTTCGGATCCTGGGCATGGACATGGCACCACTCATCAGGCCACACTGAGGCGGCATCCCACATGCCACAACTAGAAGGACCCACAACTAAAATATGCAACTATGTACTGGCGGAATTTGGGGAGAAAAAGCAGGAAAAAAAAACAGAAAGAAGACTGGCAACACTTGTTAGCTTAGGTGCCAATATTTAAAAAAAAAAGAAAAAAAAACATTTCTCAAACTCTTACTGTGTGCCAGGCATGCTGAACACCTTACATGCACCATCTCATTTTGTTCTCATAGCAACACTTCACAACAAACATTATGAGGTAGGTACAACTTTTCTACTATTTTACAGGTAAAAAACTGGGCTTAAATTAACTGACCTAAAAGCTATAATTTTTGCGTGTTTTGATTTTACCTTACATGGTGAATGAAGCCACATTTTTGATGAAGATAACTTTACCAAATGATCATTCATCCCCAAAACACTAAACTTTTTATTGTCTACAGGGTAACCACCAGTCACACGTAGCTACTGAGCATTTGAAATGTGACTAGTCTGAACTGAGATCACACACTGTATTTTGAAGACTTATGAAAAAAGAATGTAAAATATCTCAATCATTTCTGTACTGATTGCATGGTAAATGATAATACATTGGACATATTGTTTAAATAAAATATTATTAAAATTAGCTTCACTTTTTTTAAATATAGCTACTAGAAAATTTAAAACTACATATGTGGTTTGCACTTGTGGCTCACATTATATTTCTATTAGACAAGGCTTGTCTAGCATATTTTACAGACATTTATATTGGCCAAGTCAGCACAGATTTTACTCAGGTTGAATTTGACAAAGAGCTCTAAGCTGTATTAAATTGATTCTTGGGGCTGGACCACTGGCATAGTGGTTAACTTTGCATGCTCCACTTTGGCAGCCTGGGGTTCGTGGGTTTGGATGCACAGATTGGCACAGATGTTAGCTCAGGGACAATCTTCCTCAAGCAAAAAAAAAAAAAAAGATTCTTGGTAAACTTCAGAAAGAGGCCTATGATTTCTCCAAGGTCAAGCTCCTACAGTATGAGGGTCTTTCCCAATGCCAGGCCGCTGCAGTGTGGGTGGCTTCCCCTGTGCCAGGTTTCTGCCATGTATACCAGCCAGAGGCACCTAATGAGTAAATGCTTCCCCCATCGCCCCTTCAGGCAGCTTCACAGCAGAATGCTATTGGGCAAGGGACCTCCCCATGAATGGCTTCCCAACTGGCATCCCTCTGCTGGCCTTCCAGCAAATCCAAAAGCACGACACTCCAGGATTCAGTGAGCTATGCTGCTGCACCTTCTCTGGCATCTGGATCTCAGCTCCAGGCATGGGGAGGCCTCTTTGGGTGCTCTATCTCAGCTCTAGTGTTAGCGGCTGCTCCTTATTTCTGCTCTTCTTATATTCTAGAACTCTCTTTAACTTTTACTAGCCAATCCCTCTTTACCCTAATCTCTTACATTAAACTTTTCCTGTTCAAGTTACTGGGTGGTTTCTGTCTCCTCAATGAACCCTGACTAATATACCAACTATTTTTATTGGATGTTTTTATTCTCTACATGTTATTTTTGGTATTTATGTAATGAATTACCATGTTGCAGTCCAATAACTGAAGCTTTCTTATTTTGCAAAGACTAACTGCCTGTCTATGCTTGCATCTACACGGATTTTAGCACTGGTCTAAACTTAAGACATTAAAAAACACCAGAAGGCAGAATGTGATACTGTCTTTAAATCTGCCTCGAGTTTATCTATTGAAACTTTTAAGAGTTGTCTCTTTGATGAATATGAAACTTATTCAAAATTTTAAACTGTTCACAAATGTAAAACCATTGAGGATTTCACTCCATAATGTATTCTCTCATAGGGCTTTTTGTGGGGGAGGGATCAGGAAAGGACAAATTTGCCCTGATCAGATGATTGGAAAACGGCTTGCCTTAACCTTTTAAACAAGTTAATCCAATGCTAAAATTCTGTGTGTGAATAGTATCTTAGACCTCTGTCCTTCATGATGTATGATTAGCACTGTGGTTCCACACCGAGGCCGTAGATGAGTAAGGATTCTATTTAATGAAGGCAGATTTACCGCAAAAGTATTCTCACATTGTATACTATCTTTATTAAAGGAATGCATTCCAACAACACTCACCATTGTCAGACTCTATTACCAGAGAAAGAAAATGTATACCTTTAACAAATCATCTCTCTGTGCCTTAGTTTTCTCCTTTCCAAAGTAAAGGAGTTGTGTTACACCATCTCCCGTCTCTTGCAACTCTAAAAGCACTGTGCTGTGCTGCGCTACCTCACAGGGCTCCGTCCCCAGGTTTCTCTCCCTGGAGCCATCCCTAATTGGACAGTTCTTCCCTCTGAGGCTTCCTGCTTCCTGTCTCTCTCCTCCCTTGGGGAGCTGCTTCTCCTCTGAGGACTGCTCCCGTTACACATGAACCACGGACAGTTTCTGCCCTGACCACCACACTTTCTCCACTCCGAGGTTGCTCAACCATATACTCCCAACCCTGCCTTTCTCCCATTTGCCCAAGATGGCTGTGTTCCTGAAATAATCCCAGCTGCTTCCTCCTCAGCCACCTCGACCACCTGCCCTAACTTGAGGAACCTGGACCTTTCTCCAATGTCCAGTTTTGCCAGTTGTCTTTTTTAAAAAATACCTTTCCCTAAATGACTTATTTTCTACACATAATACACTCAGTTCAAATCATTTTAAACATTTCTGAAGGCAAAGCAAGTACTTTATACATTCGCTAGCTGTTTGTTTGCAGAGCTATATAAATGTAACACCCTATCAGAACAGGACTCTTCCAGCCTCAGGGAACTAGCAAAATTAGACACACATACAGGGCAAACATAGAGGAAGTGTATCTAAGAACCTGGTCACAGCCTGTAGAATCCTCAGCCAGATCAAGGATATAAAAGGGGTCTAAGGGAGAGGTTGGTAAAAAATTTCTTTGAGGAGTTTTAAGTATTCAATCCAACCTTCTTGGAGAAGGGGGTTACTGCCTTCTAGCTCTAAACCCAGTGAAGACAACTCAAAGGAACCACCCCAGAGCTTTGAAAGGCGTTTCCTGCAACTCTTTTGGTGGGGGGCCGAGAGAGGGCTGCTGCTATGAGGTCACCTTACACTTCAGAATGTGTTCCGGCCAAGGATGTGGGACTGTCTCCTGTGGACCAGATATGGGCCACTCAGGAGAAAGAGACAGCAGAGGATAATTTTGGTTCCTGCCAACAGGGCCCTCAGAGGTAGAGAAAACCTCAGGAGAAACAGCTGGATCCTAGGGGCTAGGAAGGAACCACAGGACTATTTTAAATAGAACTGGGAGCTATAGGAGAGGGAACTCAGCAGGGAGCCTCCAAAGGGGTGAAAGAAGTGCCCGAGAGAAAAAGTCAGCTTAATCATCTGCTGGCAACACAGGGCCCCATCCCTTCACCCCTCACCCCTCCCTCCTCCTGTCTACCCTTTAACCCCACCGAGGAGTTAAAGTGCAGCTCAGGAGCCCCAGGGAAGTGTACAGGGAGACAGCTGAGATGGGAGGAATCATGCCTCCTCCACTGCTGGCTTCCCGCCCAAAGTGGAAGTGAGTTGTCAACTCTGAGTTTTGACTATTACATAAAACTGGACATTTTACTTATGGAAATAAAATTTTTTACAATTATGACTGGAGAATATACATATATTTTTTGGTGAAGACGACTGTTGCTGAGCTGACATCTGTGCCGTTCTTCCTCTATTTGGTACGTATGATGCTGCCACAGCATGTCTTGATGAGCGGTGTGTAGGTCCACACCAGGGATTGGAACCCGCAAACCCTGGGCCGCCAAGGCGGAGCATACGAACTTAACCACTATGCCACCAAGCCGGCGCCTGGAGGATATTTTTTATTATCTCTGAGTGATCTAAAAATACATGGATGGGACAGACCAAGTCGTCATCCTGGGACACTGGGGCAGATTCCCACTGTATAAAGATAAGGACACAAAAATAGTTGTTTTTGTCTCAATCCACATACTAGGCCTCTTCTACAAATCTCTTGCACACATGAGAACCAATGTTTCATTGGAATTCTCCTTGACAAAAATATTCCTCTACCCTACTATACAAGGAAGCTTTTGCTTCACATTCTGTTCTTGGTTACTGATAGTCTCTGCCCTGTGCTTCTCTTAAGGTTATGATTTTATTCTGTTTCGAGAAAAAAAGAAAAAAAAACATAATCCATATGTACTAGTATGAACGAGAAAGCTCTTTCTCTGAAACAAGTAAAACAATTCTATAATATTTTACTTTGCTTTTCTTACACTAATATACAGTATTGCAACATATCAGCTAATTATAGCCAAGGTTAAATTTTGTAACCAACCCAGAACTCAAAACAGGCTGAGTACAATCTCTGCCTGAATGGCTATTCTTATCTTTGCCCTCCTTATCATTTAGCTTTCTTCATCACCTAAGGAAGTTTCCTCCACCCCTAAGGTCACATTCACTGTCTTTATAGCACTTATCACCACCTGAAAGTGCTTACTTGTTCACTGTCACACCCTCAACACAAACACACACACAAAAGCATATGCACAACTGAGTGAGATGTCAGAGCAGGGTCCTTGTCTGTCTTGTCTTCCACTTACATCTCCTGGGCCCAGAACTGCTTCTGGCACATACAGGTCACTAAACAGATATTTGCTTCATGGGAAGGGTTACTATTTTATCAAGAGAAATGAAAGGGAACCATAGAATATTTAGGTAACCTTCCAAAAGCATCTTTAGGGGGCCAGCCTGATGGCACAGCAGTTAAGTTCGCACGTTCCGCTTTGGTGGCTTAGGGTTCACCGGTTTGGATCCCGGGTGCAGACCTATGCACAGCTTGTCAAGCCACGCTGTGGCAGGCATCCCACATATAAAGTAGATGAAGATGGGCATGGATTTAGCTCAGGGCCAGTCTTCCTCAGCAAAAAGAGGAGGATTGGAGGCAGATTTTTGTTCAGGGCTAATCTTCCTCAAAGAAAAAAGGAAAAAAAAGAGCATCTTTGGTTTTTTAAACTGAACTCTCCATTCCTCATTGCCCAATCTACCCTGAACCCCTAGCAACTAACTTTATTCTTGATACTCTTCTGAAATGGGGTTTAGGGAAAGTAAACACTAACCTAAATTTTCCCAAATGCAGAAGTCGGTTTTTTTGGTTTTATTTCAGAAATTACTTTAAAAAAAAAAAAAAAAGCTTGGCCCTGAGCTAACAGCTGTAGCCAATCTTCCTTTTTTTTTGTTCTTCAGTACATAGTTGTACATTGTAGTTGCAGGTCCTTCTGGTTCTGCTATGTGGGTCACGGCCTCAGCATGGCTTGAGGAGCAGCGCTAGGTCCACACCCAGGATCCAAACTGGCGAAACCCTGGGACACTGAAGCAGAGCGCGTGAACTTAACCACTTGGCCATGGGGCTAACCCCTTTTTATTTCATTTTTAAATCTTCATTCTCCTTGTCCTCAGGCACATATGACTTAGTGCCGCCTCAAATATAATCTTTCTTGGTTTGTGTGATCGATCCTATCCTAGTTCCTGGGCTAATTTTGCAACCACTGGAGTCGACTGTCAACTTCAACCATGTGTTTTGCTCCCACTGTATCTCTAATGTGGCCTGGCACACAGTAGGTGCATCATACATTATCATGTTAAAATGAATGAACCACACTCTGTCCTCGTGTCCCCTATGGACACCTCCCCTCCTCTTTCTTTGAGCCTCTCTAAACTGTCTTCTCTTTCTGCAGTTAGTATATTTTCAAATGGTTTCAACCATTATTGAGTCAAGGATGGTTACTAAAGTTCATCAGTCAAGAAACTGAATCCTTTTCCCTCACCATCATTTCTAAATGCCTCCCAGGTCTCACCATCACCTCGTATCTCCATTTAAATTATCTTCACCATTCTAACCCTTAAAATCAGCTCCCTTTCACAACTACATGTTCATTACTTCCAACTGCAGATCTCTAGTTCGGGCCATCCACTTGAAGTGCCACCAGGTTTACTCAATTTTTCCCAGATGTTTCCTCCTGGTGCCCTGTCAGCATCTCAAAACCACTCAACTTTACGATTTCCCCTCATTGCCTCCATTCTACATTCCCTTGCAGTGAATGCACTGCCTCCTTGCCCTGGTCAGAAACTTGCCATCCAAGACTCCTATCTCCCTGATGTATGTGAGGCCTGCTGCAGCAGACACACTTCATTCTCACATTATGACCTCATGGAATCCTCAGAGCCTATGATACAGGAGATTGGGGGGGGGGGGGGGCTTGGAAGCTACTCCTTTTGATTCAAGTTTTACATGTTCTCAGTAGAGACCCTCCTGCCACTTCCAATCCCAGTGCCACTACCTTAGTCCATAATCTCATTATTTCCACAGACCATAAAGAACCTGCTGCCTGATTTCCCAGCTTCAAGACGCATCACATACACACCACCATCACCTTACACTTTAATCTTGCTAATGATAACTAATCATGCCATTGTGTGCTTGAAAACTTCAATGATTTATCATTGCCTTCAGGCTGAAGTCCAAACTCCTTAGTATGGTACTTGAGACCTTTCATGATCTGATCACTGCTGACCCTTCCAGAGTCTTCTTTTGCCAACCTCTCCCATTCTCCAGATCTGACAAACCACATTATCTGTGCTTAAAAGGCCAAGGTTCAGCCACCCATTGGTTAGACCCATCTGGTCCTGAGTACCCTCTGCTCAAGAAATACAAATCCCTTACCTATTCAGTAGGGTAACTGAGCTAGCAGGTGTTGGTCAGGCATACTTGCCACTGTCTCAATAGACCAAGTGTGGCACTGGCCCCAGCTATCTTTGGTCAGATTGGGATCCACTTCCCAAACCTCAACTCTGATCCTCAGGACATCATCAGATTTGTCAGACGTTAACTTTATGCAAACTAGGGTTCAATGAACAAGTGAATCCACTAGTCTGCATTCAATTCTCAATGTGTTAACCCAGCCCATCTCTTCCCCATTGCCTCTCCCTGGTTTGTACAATCAATTTAACAAACCATTTCATTCTGCGAGCCTTCTATGATCTATGGGGATAATTACCATTGCACCAGAGTAATTTCCCAGTGACACCTACTCTGTGCCTAGGGTCACAAACACTGGGAAACAAGAGGTAAGCTCACCCTATACTCAACATAACAGAGGCCTTTCTTAATGCATTAATGTCCACCTTTCACCTTAACCATTCACGCCAATTGATTTTCCTAAGCCAGGATTCAGCAGTTCCACAGGTCTTCAGGTCAGTGCACACTTGCCTCAAAGCCTAACATTTATTTCATACTGGGCATTACATATCTCAGTGGGCCCCTCCATCACTCAGGAACCAACCATTAGTAACACTGGAAGATTTCAGAATGATCTTAAGAACAAGTCAGATTTCAGTTCTCTCAAGCCAAAATATATTAAAATTGTTCTTTTTGTAGGTCAGAAGCAATTTCTTAAATTTGATCCTAAATATTCTAACTTTATGTTGTGGCACTGTAAACGCACCTTCATTTACTGAACTATGGACTGTGCTTACAAGCCCAGCCAAGTTACTATTAGCCCTCTAGTTTACAAGTGAGCACAGGCCAAGAAGTTGGTAAAATCACACTAGCAAATGGCAACTGGTCTCCAGGAACCAGGCTCTTAACTATGCATCCCTAAAGTACAAAGTACTGAGACATTATATCAAGTCTTATATTGGGAGGAAGCCCAAAGTAGATTTAGATCAGCAGTGGCTTCTGGACAAGTGAATGTAAGCTGAGACCTGAAGGATGAGTGAGGAGCTGAAGAAAAGGGCAAGATGACGGCAGGAATTAGCTAGTATCTTGGGAAAACATTTTAGGGTGCAGTAAAGATTAAGGTGGGTGAGGCAGCAAAGATCCTGAAAACCCTTTTAAGTTCAAGTTAAGGATAAGATGTTATCCTAAATACAATGAGAAGCGACAAGTTAGGCAGCACACCTTGGCCACATACCATCTTATGGTGCTATTCCAACACTTGTGCTGTTTAATCTTCTCTGTCGTCTCACTCAACAGTCCAACAAAATTAGTCTTGTCTCTTCATGCCAAAACCCTGTCCAGCACTAAGCCACCAGAACTGGGAGAGCATGGCAAAAAGCTTCAGGGTGCTTTAACACAGAAAAATCAATGATTACCCAGTTGAGGGTTAAAATTCCACCAGGGACCCTATTTATCATCTTTAGGCTACAAATAGGAGTTTATACTTGGCTTTCCTTTATGTCCAACTCAATCCACTGCATTTGCATATGGATCTACAGACTTTTTCTTAATCAATCCTACTTACATATTTTTGTTGACTAACACCTAGCAGGTTGCTTTAACTTTCCACTTAATTGACCACCTTAAACCTCACGCACAGCCTATATGCTAAGTGCCAAGGAAGCACTTTTGATACTAGGATCAGTTAAGATCATCTTTCCAAAATAGAATTCATTCAACTCCTACCCTTCATGTTCTCACTGGTACCCGAAAAGCCCCAGTCTGTAGGATGGACAACCACTCTCCGAAGTCATTAGAGTATAGCAGAGGAATGTTACTAAAAGTAATTAAAAGCCATGCTTTCACGTAATCCAACATTGTAAATATCCATGTGTGCCACACGAGCTGTGCTATTTTAATTCTTACTATATCTTTACATCCTCTCCCAGCATTGTCTGCTTGAAGGAATCCTGCAATTGTGCTTCATTCTCATCCTCTTAAGCAGTATCACAACCCAGTTCACAAGGTAGTGCTCCAAAACAGCCACTTAACAAGTAAATCCAATATGAAGTTGTCCCATTCCTAAACCTATAATAACTCACTGATACCACAAGCCTATTAAAAATACCTTAGCACAACAGATATTTTTTAAAACCAGAACATTTATTGCGTGACTAGTCATCGAAATCCTTAAGATGAACTGGATGCCGCAACAGCTGCCCTCTTGGGTTTAGGTGTTGTTCCTTCACGGAATCCATGCCTGCATCGTGTTAAAAAACAAGAACCATTACTTCAGAAACATCACTGTACACGTTAAATTTTTGTTAAAACAGATTCTAATGAGCTTATCTCAGTTAAATGCTGAAATCAGTATCGAATTCATATGTTCAGACATTTATCTTTACAACATCACAGATAAGCTGCTACCGTTTCATTTACTTCCCTTTGCTTCAAGATAGCCATTTCAGGGATACAGTTAAACGCAGCTGAAAAAGACTCAGCAATTTGCTTGTACCCATCGCTGGGCCAGTATTTCTTCACTGTTTGTGTCCCTATGCTGTAAGGCAGAGATCCCAACTACTCTCCCTTGGCCAAGGAGAAACAATGAGCATGCTTAATAGCAGACATTTTCTAAACCACTTAACTATGCCACACACTTTAACTCCTCTGATATTCATACCTACTCTGAGCTAAGTGTACTGCTATCCCTCTTTTAAAGATTCATGAATTGAAGCACAGAGAGGTTAAAGTCTGGCTTCAGTTCCTGCTCTTAACTCCTACAACACAATAGCAGGACAGTACTAAGTCCACACTACTGTATAATTGTTTTAATTGCAAAAAAGAATGGTCACCCCAGCACATGAACACAGATACAACTAAAGGTGGTGGTGTTTACAGAGCCCCAAACTACTCTGGATCTTTTAAAATTAGAAACTCTGGGACTAAATGCCTAGAGGCCAGGGATTCTGCTAAATATCCCACATTGCACACGACAGCCTCCCACAACAAAGAATTCTCTCAGTTGAGACATTAGATGAGTTTACCCCCTAAAAGCTACCGTTAAAATACACTAAGTCTAGGTTGGGCAGAAACACTGCACTTCTAACAGACTCTAAGCAACAAGACTGCAAGATGTTTCTTTTTATACAAATACAATAGCAACTATCAGTTTTCTACAGCAGACTTGCCCAACGTTACAAAACCAAAGGCCTGACTACAGACTTCACCCGCACACAACCGTCTTGAGGAATTTTGTTAAGTGAGTGAGATGTGACCACTACTAATAAATATTATCACGTTTTGAGGAGTCTACCTCAAACCATGCTCTAGACATTCATAACTCGTACTACCGTTTACTGAAAAATTAGTAAAACCTACATTAACTGATCCGAAGCTTACCGTGGCAGGAAAAAAAAAAACCACTTTCCAACATCTTAGCCCCACTCACCAGGGTAGTATCCTTACTTTACACAAGTCAACAAAGGAGATGGTCCTTACCCAAGTTCAGAGAACCAACTACGACTAAAACACAAAAACTGTACCTGAATCTGCGGTATACAATTTTCAGGTGCCTCATTCGACCGGTCCCGGTGGTGTTTCGCCTTTTAGCCTTGGCACTCCAGTTATCTACAACACAGACTCAGGTCAGCTTCGAAATGGTCTTCCCCACTCACCCCGCAGGCACTGTCGGTTGGTACACTGAGGAGCCCTTCCTCGCGTGTGAATCCACTGCACCAGCATCCGGACGCACAAGCTTCATCATAGACACCAAACAGCGTCCAGAGCCCTGCCCCGTCACTTAGGTACCGTGCCGACCAGAGACTACTGCTACCCTCGAGATCACCCCACAGCCCGACACAGCCCACTCACACTTTCTCTTCCTCTTGGCGGGGTAGCCGCACTTGCCACACGTCGACTTCTGCAGGTGGTAGGCCTTGGAGCCACAGCGGCGGCACAACGTGTGCGTCTTGTTGCGACGCTTTCCGAACGATGACGTTCCCTTCGTCTGCAAATTAAGCGGACAAACGATTCCGAAATCTAGCAATTTCTAGACACATTCTGACGTTTTCAGGGCAAGAAACTACTTGTCAGACTTAAATGCAATCGATAAGGGCTGAAATATCTAAACTTTTCTGAAACGCTAAAATCAGAGACCACTTCACGCTATCGAGAGCCTTCACTAAGAGATGCTGTTTTGAAATCTACTACATTAAAAGAAACAGAGAAAAAGGCGAAAGAAGAAATAATGTGGTTTCCCTACCTGCCCCCACCCCAAACCCTAAGCGCTCCTGCCAGGCACCACCACCAACCAATTCCTTTGCTTACACAGAGCCAAACACTTCCAAACCAGGCCTCTCCCCTCACTTCCTATCCCAGGGCAGGGCTGTGCGGGCTCCCCAAAGATCAGACGGCAGCTAGGGACCTAGAGCGGCTCCAGATCCACGACCGCAAGCTCGGCAGCCCCAGGCACAGTAAGGAGCCATACTCCTGGCTCTTGAGGGCCGCTGTACGTCCCTTTCCAGCCCATCGGCCCCCCCTTATCGGGAACCTTGTGGGCCCCCCAAGATAGCAGGGAGCGCGGCGCAGAAAACGAGGATGGAAGACGATTAGGACAGCCGTTGCAAACAACTCACCATCTCGCTTCTGTGGCCGAGACCAAAGAGGCCGGAAGAGGAGGCACTTCCGGTATATCGCCCTCAGAAGCTTCCGTCCCGGAGAGTATTTCCGGCGGCGCGCGGTGCACTGTTCTCAAGCGTCCGTCGCTGCAGTATGGCTGGGGTCGAGAGGAGGATCCGGAGCCAGGTGGAGCCAATAGGGTTCAGCGCCCGGCAGGCGGGCGGAGCTCGCAGCTTTGTGGGGCCGGGATGGGCGTGTCCCCGCCGGACCGGCCTTGGCCGGGAGGCGCTTTTAGGCCGGAACTGTGCTTTGCGCTGCTGTTGCTGCCCTCTGGCTTTCCCGCCTTGTAGGTCGGGAGTGGTGACCGCATCGCGGATCCGGTCCCGGAGTCGATGGAGAACCTGGCGTGGGGTGAGGCTGCCCCTTCCGGGCATCCTGCGCTGACTCAGCGCCCCGGCGTGTGTGCAGGGCTCGCGGTGGGACTGGGACCCTGGTTCAGGGCAAACCAGCCTCTCCAGGTTCCTCCTCATTCCGGCCGGAGGTTTTTTGTCTGACGCTGATTCCCTGAGAGGTCGCTAGGAGTACGGACCGGCCTTGGGGAGCTGGGCTCAGAACCTAAAGAGAAAGGCAAATAAGCTCTTTCTCACTGTAATTTAGAGGCAACTGGTTTGATCCCAAATTTCATTGTTCCAGGGAATCACAAGTGGAACTTGTTCAATATAGCTTCCTGCACCGTATCGTGAGATCTGATTCAGCAGCTTTGAGCAGGGCCTGGAAGTCTGAACTTAAAAAACTTTTCGAATAATTTCGAAATGGTGGTTCCCAGACCTCGTTGATAAAGGCTAATCCAATTGTAACCTCTTACCTATAACAAAGCCCCCCCCGCCAAAACGATAAAAGAAAATATCCAAACATTTAAGAGTTAACAGGGGAAACGATTCCAAATAACCGTATCGTGTGCTTACTTTATAAAGCAAACAGAGAATTCTTGACCTGTCACATGTGAAATCTTAGCAAAGGTAATTGACTAATCACTAGCAGAACAAGATGAACTGTAGGAGTCAGAGGTTTAATTTTGACAGGTTGACAGTTGATTGGTACCTAGTAAATTCTAAGCTTTTCTCTAGCAGCTGGGAATAGAGACGTGAACAGGACGCAATCCCCGTCTTCATGGAAGTGGTAGGTAGGGGGTGGGGGAGGGGTGAGGTGGGCAGTAAGGGGAGAGAGAGCAAGCCAACGTTGCAGTGCTTGGACGAAAGTGCAACTCAGGAGAGATTTTCTGGATTAGGTGCTGTATTAGTTTCCTATTGCAGTTCTAACAGGTTAACACAAACTTAGTGGCTTAAAACAAAACAAATTTAATCAACAGTATAAAGTTTTAGTTACGCAAGAGGAGTAAATACTAGAGATCTGCTGTACGATATTGTGCCTATGGTTAACAAGTTAAAAATCTCTTAAGAGGCTAGATCTCATGTTGCATTCTTACCACAATTAATGATGTGGATCAAGGCTGCCCCAGGGAGGGAAGCCCAAGACGTCCTGGCCTATATGCTTATCCATATGACCCCAATCATATAAAAAGTTGTACAACCACACAATAACCAGACCCCACTTGCACGAGACCATTTTAATGACTTTTTACATCATCTTTCCTTTGTCTGGTAAAAAAAAGTCACGTACCCATGACATAAATTTATCCCTAACCCTCAACACATTGCCGCTCTTCACTGGCCATGGGTCCTGTCCCCATGCTTCAGCCCTTCACTGCCCATGGGTCCTATCCCCATGCCCGCAGTCCTTCACTGCCCATGGGTCCTGTCCCCATGTTATTCTCTGAATAAAGGAGCACTGCCCAGACCTTGAGAATCTAAGAAATCTTTCTTTTGACTCCTTAGCTCACCGAGCCGGCATGTATTGTATTAACACACACTTTTATTATCTTACGGTTCTGGTCAGAAGTCTGAAATGGGTCTCACTGGGCTGAAATCAAAGTGTGAGCAGGGCTGCATTCCTTCTGGGAGGCTCTAGAAGAGAATCTGTTTTCTTGCCTTTTTCAGCTTCTAGAGGCTGCTAGCATCCCTTGGTTTATTGCCCTCTTCCACCTTTAAGACCAGTAAGAGTCTTTCTCATGTCACATTACTCTCTTTTCTCCCTCCCTCTTCTACTTGTAACACCCTGCTAAATGAATTAAACAGGTGACCATTAGACGGAGGTGGCTCTAAGGCCCAGGCAGTGTACCTAAGCAAACCAAAACCAAGCCTGTAAATGCCTCAAGGTTGTGAAACTGAAAACGCTAAGGAGAACCAATCACAAACAGCCAATTAGGCTTTGAGCTATAGCCAATCAAATTACTTCTTTTCCTTGCTTCTGCACTTTCTCTATTATAAGTCTTTCCCTTGGATCATGACAGCAGAGCGCGCCTAACTATTTCCGGTTTGGTGCTACCTGATTTGAATCAATTTTTGCTCAAATAAACTTAAAATTTTTAATGTGCCTTAGTTTATCTTTTAACAGCCCCATGTGGATTACATTGGCCCCACCCAGACAATTTCTTCATCTTAAAATCAGCTGGTTAGCAACCTTAATTCTATCTGCAACCTTAATTGTCCTTTGCCATGTAATCTAGCATATTCACAGGTTATGCTGATTAGGTTGTAGGGGAGCAAGAACATTTCCTCTACCCACTAGGTCCTTCTGTCTGGGCTACGAATTAAATTAACATGAGACAGAATAACAGGAAGAAATCAAACAAATATTTATAACGTGTACATGTGAGAGAGACCCAAGATAACTGGGTAACTCTCCAAAATGGTGGAGGCTCTCATCTTAAAAACCATCTTCAGCTAAAGACAAAGGACGATGTTGGCACAGGGGATGGGGGTGGTTTAAGCAAGTGTTTGGTAAATAAAACTTTGATAAGAGTGGGCTTAGCAAGGATCCTCCCAGTCTATCAGATACCCAAAGTTATCTATGGTGATGGCCTGTCCTGGGGTCAGGCCTTTATTTTAAATCTCTTTTAGGCAGTTGAGGGAAGGTCAAAGTTTCTTTCACAGTCTTTTGTTCTTAAAAATAATCAAGGCAAGGCAAAGAGACAGATTTTGGGATGGCCAATTCTGATCCCCCGCAAGCTCATGGTCTTTGGGGGGGGGGGCACTGTTCTGCCTGGCACAGGTGTTATGAGAAATGAGATCAGTGTAGACAGGACAAGTGACAACTGCTGAGGAGGCAAGGAGTATGACAGGTGTAATGTGAGTGTACTTTTTACCCCAGACACTCCTGGAATTGCAGACATCAGAGAAAGTGAAATATTTTTCCTCCTCTCCCTGATGTGATGTGGTTCTTTTTGGTGTATTTGAAACCAAACCATTTTGGCCCTGGTCAGGTAGGCAGGCCCTTGGCTCTACAAAGGCTTAGGGAGCCAGTTTAGAACCTCCAGGTTCCTACCCAAATGCCGGGTTTAGGGGAGGACTGGATCAACTTCTGAAACAGATGGTCTATGCTGTTTCCTAGGCATGCGCCCCAGGACATTTTGCCTTTGGCAGAGGATGACAGAAAGAGATTACATAAATCCTGCATCCATGGTTTACATACAATTTAAATTTCTGGATCACCAGGACTTGGCACTAGACCTGCCTTTTTTTCCTACAATAAATGAAACAAAATTGCTGCTGACTTTTCTTTTTAGAAAAATCACATAAATTAAATTCCTTAGCTGCAAACAAAATTTTTACTCCCGTGTCATTGGATTTGATTTGAGGGATGTATTTTCAAGTCTGCATCTACTAGCCACACTCCCCCTACCCTCACTCCAATTTGCATGCTAAGCCTGTGCTATGCAAATTTTCTGTTACCAAGCAATTGAATTTAAACTTCCTTCACTAAGTTTAAATTTCTCTGCTAATATCCCACTTCAAATAAACATTTTCCTTCCCATCAGCTTTGAAATCTCCCAGGGCAGGCTTTTGTGGGAGTGGAGGGTATTTGGTGTGGAGCAGTGGGGAGGAGATGGTGTTTGAGAAGCCTGTTAGTAGAATGCCTTACCAACCAAGGTGAACAAAAAAAGTGGCAAACTTACTGACCTTGCCAATCAAATTGTTATTATTAGGTGGGATGCATCTCTTGAAACCTGTACTTTCAAGACACATGTTAAAACTTTTACGGATACCAGCTCAACACAAGGTTGATACAAGGGAAGCCATATTGTAGAAAAGAAACTATATTGTAACTTTCAATGGCCTCTGACTAACTAACCCAGCTGGATACACACACTCCAGGAGATCTAGCTGCTCTGTAGATTTTATGACCCCTGCACCTCCCAGCTGGGATAAAACAATAACCTTGTTCTTTTGAGTTCCTTAGGAAGGTGATGACACCAGGACAGCGAGTCTATGCTGATAGCCATCATCAATGACAACTGAAAGATCTGGTGTGGTGACTCCTAGTCTGTAACACCAGAGGGTCAGCATTCCTAACCCTCTCTCCTATTAACCCACTGGCCTATAACTGCTTAAGATTCTGTGCTCCCCTTTGGATGGTTCTTTAGGATGCTAGTCCACCATCTTCTGATTTGCTAGCTTATCACTTAATAAAATACCCTTTCTCTGTCACCATCTTGCCTCTTGACAATTGGCTTTTGTCTTGCGGTGAGCACATCGTGCCCGTTCTGTGATAACATTACCTAAAATTAAGTTTTAGTGTCATATGACGATTTTCTTATTCTTTTTTCAATCTCAGGGACAGCAGAGTTGAATTAATCATTATTCCTGGTTCCCAATACATACGCAGCATTGATCCATGCATGGCCTGCTTTTAGTACATATTTAACTACTTTTAATAATATAATAAGCACCTATAAACTTATTCTGAGATGATATCCTATATCTAACTCCATGATCTTCTTCCATCCCACCCCCAACCTCCCCCGAACAAGGGTAACCATCCTTCTGAATTTCATATTCATCATTTCCTTACTTTTCATTTTGTATAATTTAATGACTCCTTATATATTCCTAAAATGTATGTGCATTTAAGTTATTTTCAACTTTTAAAAAGGATACCATGCTGTATATAATCTTTTGGGACTTAAATCTTTCCCTTAATATTGTTGTGATTGTTGATGCAAATAACCAATGGCAATTCTGTAGATAGGAGAGATAAGGTGAATTTTACTTGAGCCCAGCTGAGGACTATAACCCAGGAAGGCAGTCTCCACAAAGGAAGAAAGCGTTTTGGAGATGCATGGTTTTCAGTACAGTTTTGTACCTTTCTAGAACAAAGAACATACATCAAACATGCCCAGGATACGTATTCATCAAAGTTTCAAAGAGATATTCAGTTGCAAATTAGCAAGTCAACACAACCCTGATGTCTGGGAAAGGAAAATTATACTCAAGAGTATTGATACTGGTGTTACTGATACTGACATTGTAGGAAAGTAAGTATGCATCCTTATCTTCAAAGAGTGCATTCTTTTACTTTGAGATAATGTTTAAAGCATTCTTTACTTTAATGGTTAAAGCAGATGTACAAGGTATGTTTGACAGGTTGTAAGTCAGACTTCTTTAATTCAGGCCGAATCAGGTTTTAAACCAGCATATCTACCCACTCTAACTCAATATGTCAAAATTTCTTACCATTATTTCTCTATATTGTGGGTCACTGAAATTCCTTCTTTATGAATGCTGTGTGTTATGTTATGTGAAATACTACAATTTATTCATCAAGTATCCTGTTGATAGTTGTTTAGATTGTTTTCAAGCTCTTGTGAACTATGTAACTATAAATAAAGACCAACTAGACAGTTTTTTAAAAAAAATAAAACTAATAAAAAGAAAAAATAGAAAATATTAAAATAAATAGTAATGTTTAAAGTTAAAAGTATGAATCCTTCTGTAATCATATCCCTAGAGATAACCAGTGTTACAGTTGGGATCTCTCTTTCAGGTGTAGGGGAACAGAATTTGCCACCCCGAAATGTGCCTCTTTGGCTTGATTATTTATTTATTTATTTTTTGAGGAAGATTAGCCCTGAGCTAACATCAGTGCCCATCTTCCTCTACTTTATATGTGAGACACCTGCCACAGCATGGCTTGACAAGCAGTGCAAAGGTCAACACCTGGGGATCCGAACCAGCGAACCCTGGGCCATCAAAGTGGAATGTGCAAACTTAACTGCTGCATCACCAGGCTAGACCCTGGCTTGATTATTTTTAAGAACAAAAGACCAGGAAGAAACTTTGACCTTTCCCCTAAATGCCTAAAAGAATTTAAGATAGAAGGTATGTTCAAGGGAGGAGCTATCACCATAGATAATTATAGTATAACATGAACTAGGTGTGGTAGATAGGGAGGAAACTAGCAAGGCCACTTTGATCAAAATGCTCTCTATATCCCATTGTCTCTGCAAGGCATGGCAAACATTTGCTTATGAAACACTTGTTTTTCCATCTCCATGTGAATTGTCTGCCTCCTCTTTGAAGTCCCAAACCCCTACCCCCAAAATCCTCTTTTGTCTTTAGCTGAAGATGGTATTTAAGGTGGTGGCTTTGGCCATTTTGGCAAATTACTCAGTTTTTCTGGGTTTCTCCCATGTATATATGTAGTTAAACTTTGTTTGATTTTCTCCTGTTGTTTTGTCTCATGTTAACTTAATTATTAGACCAGCCAGAAGAACTTAGAAGGGTAGAGGAAAATTTCTTTCTCCCCTACAACTGGCTGTCTTCTTTTAAATATAATGTATATCCATATATGCATATTATAGATGTACAGTGTACACATTAGTCTTTTAATTAAAAATAGAATCTTACTGTTTTCCATAACAATATATCATGTATATCACTACTTGTCAAGATATATAGATTTAGTTCATACTTTTTAGCTAGTCTTTGGTGTTTCATTGTTGATATATCAACATTTGTTCCACAAATCCCCCAATTTATGGAAATTTTGGTTATTTTCAATTTTCTGCTATTATAAATGATGTTGTAATGCAAATTCTTGCAGATACATCTTTGAACATTTGTCTGAATATTTCCTTAAGATAATTTCCTAGAAGCAAAATTACCGGGTTAAAGGGTATGACTTTTTATTTTTTCTCTCTATCAACATTTGTTTATTTGTTGCTGCATATTGCCAGATTCCTCTCCAAAAAGAGTTAATCAATTCACCTACTTATTATTACAGATAGAGCTCACAGTAGAAAATAACTAGCCCAATCTGAAATTCAAGAGAAACTTCTCAAAGGCCCTGGGGCTGAGTCATCATAAGAGCAGGTAAATGATATGCAGGGAGCCAGGGTCTGGAAGGGCTCAGGGCTGGATTCTCCCACTGCTTGGTCTTGTTTGTATTTCCCGTTTCCAATGCTAGGCATCACTGACATACTTAATCTTTGCCAAATAGAGTCACTCTTTGTGGGGTTTTTTTGAACTTTTTTTTTTCTATTGGAACAATTTTGTAATCCATTTCCTGGTCTGGAGAAAGCAGGAACAATGGCTACCGGGAGTGTTTTCTCAGAGATCACAGAAAAAGAACGGAAAAAGTTACTTGAAATTCTCCAGCAAGATCCTGATTCCCTCTTAGATACATTAACCTCTCGGAGGCTGATTTCTGAGGAAGAGTATGAGACTCTGGAGGATATAACAGATGCCTTGAAGAAAAGTCAGAAGCTGTTAATTCTGGTGCAGAAAAAGGGAGAGGTGAGCTGTCAGCATTTTCTCAAGTGTTTACTTAGTACTTTTTCAGAGTCAGCTACCATTCGGGGCTTAAAGCACAGTAAGTTGAACTTTTTACACATTTTTGGGGTAGGAGGCACAAGGCAGATTTCCTGAAAAAGAAAATTATGGTCTTCTGTTTTTGTTTGTCTTTCTCTTGGAGATAGTTTTCACTGAAATATGACAAAGGAGAAAAGTGTGCAGAACAGAAAAAGCAGGGAACAATAAATCTCATTGGTTTAGGGGATTGATTTTTTTTTGTTGAAACTGTATGCCAAACTTGCCGTTGTTTTAGTGCTCGTATAAACTGCTCGTTATTCTAGTAGTGATGTTCCAAAATACTCACGGTTGGAAATAGAGTACTGTTAATGATGACACATCTGGGATTTCTTTATCAAGTAAGTGAATTAACAGATATTAACAACCCCAAGACAAAAGCTGCATCTTTCACTTAGTATAGCCATTTTCAAAATACAGGAAAAATAATTTTTAGCATACACACAGGGTGCATCAGTGGCTTCATTCTCTGGTGATGACAATACCATCAGAACTCTAGTTTTCTGGAGCGGTTCAAATGCTGTCTTCAGTGTTCAAAGATAACTAGTGGCAGATAAGGGAGCAATTTTTCCAGAATATGATGTTTAGCAAATCTGTAGATTACCGCCTGAGGAAGGTGTAGCTCCTTTTCTAAGAATCTAAAAAATATTGAAGATTATTTTAAGAGATGTTAGAGGAGTAGCTCAAATAAAAAGTTTAGTGTTAATCATCTCTAATGTAGGACAAGGCGCATATGCTTAAAGAAATAGGTCATATTATTTCTACGATTTACTATTCCAGATTAGAGCTATTTGCTTCCTGATTAGAAATTATGAGGATCAGATTTCATTAGCAATGGGCCTAGGAAGTCTGAGCTCATTTTGGCTCACAGTAAATCCACAAGTAAGCACTGTTCATAGGATTCATATTTTCTGTTTCACTCATTTAACCTTTAAGTTTGCTCTGAAAGACTCAAAATTTTGAGCAAGGCAGGAGTGTGATCTGATTTTCTTCCAGTGGGAGAAAGACAGTTTTGACAGATGACTTGTGGCCAATAGGAGGCGATGGGTGTTCCTGTCCTCCAGTGAAATAAAGAGGAGAGACGACGCTTTGAGGCCTTGGAAACTCAAGTTATTACAAAACTTATTTTTGTTAATTTGGACAAGCAAAACAAAAACCTCCAAAACTTTCTTGTTCTTTTCATAATTTTTACAGCATAATACAGAATCTCCTCCATCTGTGGGGATAAACGAGAATTCAGATGGTTTTCTACCTGGAGGGAAACAGCCTGAGAATCCTGAGATCACAGAGCCCTTCAAAGAGAAAGAACACGTGGATTTGGAAACCTCTCAGTCTTTCAGGGACAACAAAACTGGTTATAGGGAAACTGCTTGGTCCTCAAGGGAAAATGAGAAGGAATACAATACACCAAAAGTCGCATTGCCACATTCCGTCGAAAATGTTGAATATGAAGTTCCAGCAACTATTGAGTGCTTACAGGACGGACAGAGATATGAGGAGCCAGATGATTCTTTATACTTAGGAGAAGAGGGATATCTAGAATCTGTTGGATACCCTGTAGATGCAGAAATCACCGTGGAAGAGGAGGATTATGCTGACCCAGACTACATCGTCTATGATGGTGAAGAGCACTGTGCATATTCAGAAACCACGGAATTCTCTGACGAAGAACAGAGTCATGAGGATTCAGAAACTGGCATGTCATTGGAGGAGGAAGAGGAGAAAAATATGGAAGGTAGGAGAATGATGTGTGTATAGTTAGGCAACAACTTATTTTGAGGTTGCCATGATGTAGTGGGAAGAGGGGATGGAGGGCACCAGATGCCAGCAGAAAAGCAGCTACTCAATTTCCTTCTCTAACCTGGAATTTCCTCAGAGGTGGGTGTTGACAGTGAGGAAGACTCAGGACCTAGGAAATGATGCACAGTATAAGCAAAAGTAAATATTGGTTGTCAGCTTGTGGGTTTCTGCAGTCACCTCCACCATATATATAAGAAGTTACTAACCACCAATTTACGTGCTACCTTCTATTCCTCACATTAAGCCTCTTTAGTCATTTTAGGCCCTTTGTGACCAATGGAATGTAGGGATTATGGGTTTAACTGTTGCAGCGGAAACAGGAGAGGAGTTTGTGGTGAATGGATAAGCTCCCCAAATATTATTATTTGGCTTGATACAGTCCATGTATTGCCATCTTGATGACGGAAATTGTATCAGTCTCTTGAATTTGAATACTTCTTAGTGAAAATTCAAAATATGAGAAATGCTGCATTTGGAGAGACATTGTCTGGGAAAATAAACATCACCAGGTTCTGAGTAGGCAGGAGAAAGGTAAATACCATCTCACATTCAGTCCAAATCCTGGGGATTCACACCCACTTCTGGGTAGGAAAAGAGTAATTTCCTCCTTAGCACATCTTGTTTTAGTTTGCTGGGGCTGCCGTAGCAAAGTATCACCAACTGGGTGGCTTAAACAACAAACAGAAATGTATTGTCTTAGGTTGGAGGCTCTTAGAAGTCTGAAATCAGTGTCTACAGGGTTGGTTCCTTCCAAAGGCTGTCAAGAAGAATTTGTTCCTCGCTTCTGGTGGTTTGCTGGAAATCTTTGGCATTCTTTGGCTTGTAGAAGCATTTCCCAGATCTGCCTTCATCTTCATGTGGTTGTCTCTGGGTGCTTATCTCCATGTCCAAATTTCTCCTTTTTATAGGGACACCAGTCATATTGGATTAGGGCTCACCCTAATGACCTCATCTTAACCAATTACATGTGCAGCGACCCTATTTCCAAATAATATTACATTCTGAGGTACTGGGGGTTAGGATTTCAGTACATGAATTTGAGGGGTACATAATTCAACCTATAACACAATTCTTGCCTCACCCCTATACCTTTCCAATACATAGTTGCTTTTAGGGCTCCTTCTTTTTATTTATCTCTATATTTCAGTTGTTGCATAGGGTTGAATTAATTATTTATTGCATAATATCATCATTATTCTGCAAAAAGCCCCTTTTGTTTATCTATTCCGTTTTTTTCTTTATTCTCCATTCCCATTCACCTTCCTCCATAGATAACATTCTAATATTATAATGTGTTTCTTGCGTGTTATTGTTTTGTTTGCATGATTTTCTTTCTGTATCATGTATTTATTACTACACTGATGCTATATAACAAAGCATCTCAAAATTGGGGTCACTTAAAACAGTAAGAGTGAAGTGTTGTTCATGTGTCTCTAGTTGGCTGGGCAGTTTTTTGGGTCTTCCCTGGGTTTATTCATGTTTCTGTGGTCAGCTGGCTATAAGCTCATCTCCCTTCTTCTAGCAGGCTAGTCTGGGCTTGTTCTCAGACTAGATGGGGCATATTCTCTCTTTTTTTTAAATTTTATTTTTTATTTTTTTTTAAAGATTGGCACCTAGGCTAACAATTGTTGCCAATCTTCCTTGTTTTTTTTTTTTAAGGATTGGCACCTGGGCTAACAACTGTTATCAATCTCTTTTTTTTTTTTCTGCTTTATTTCCCAAACCACCCCCCCACCCCCCAACCCCGGTACATAGTTGTGTATCTTAGTTGCAGGTCCTTCTAGTTGTGGGATGTGGGACGCTGCCTCAATGTGGCCTGACGAGTGGTGCCATGTCCTTCCCCAGGATCCGAACCCTGGGCCGCTGCAGCGGAGGCACGAACTTAACCACTCGGCCACAGAGCTGGCCCCAAGGGGCATATTCTCATGGTGAAGGCAGAGGAGTAAAAGAGAGAGAAGGAGACAAAGAGAGAGGGCACAAAAGAGAAAGAGAGAGACAAAGTAGTGAAGGCCTTTTGAGGCTTAGGCTCAGAACCATCATGCTGTTTGTATTAGTTTCCCAGGGCTGCCACAATAAAGTACTACAAAAGGGTGGTTTAGAACAGCAGGAGATGTACTACCCCACAGTTGTGGAGGCCAGAAGTCTGACACCAAGGTGTTAGCAGGTCACGCTGTCTCTGAAGGCATTAGGGAAGGCTCTGCTCCAGCCCTCTCTCTTAGCTTCTGGGAGCCTCAGGTGTTCCTTGGCTTGTAGACCATCTTTTTTCTGTGTCTTCAAGTCATTTTCCCTCTGTGCATGCCTCTGTTTTCAAATTTCCTCTTTCTATGAGGACACCAGTCAGATTGGATTAAGGCCACCCTAATAACTTCATTTTAACTTAAGGTCTTCTGTAAAGACCTTGTTTACAAATAAGGCCACATTCTGAGGTACTGGGGACTTCAACATATCTTTTTTGGAGGGGACAAAATTCAATCCATAACACCATCACTTCCGCCACATTTTGTTGGCCAAAGCAAGTCACAAGCCAATGTGGATTCAAAGGTTGGGGAAAAATAGACTCCGTCTTGGGGCTGGCCTGGTGGTATAGTGGTTAAGTTTGCATGCTCTGCTTTGCTGGTCTGGGGTTCACTGGTTTGGATCCCGGGTGCAGACCTATGCATGGCTTTTCAAGCCATGCTGTGGCAGGCGTCCCATATATAAAAAATAGAAGAAGATGGGCACAAATGTTAGCTCAGGGCCAATATTCCTCAGCAAAGAGAGGAAGATTGATGGGAGATGTTAGCTCAGAGGTAATCTTCCTCAAAAAATAAAGAAAAGAAAATAGATGCCACCTCTTGCAGAGTAGTATTGCAAAAGATAGGGATACTGGAAAGCCATTAATTGGGGCTATTTTTGCAATCAAACACCTTTAACAAAACAGGTCAAGAAAAGTCTCATTAATAATGTAGTTATGTTCTGCAATGTAATTCTAATGGCTACCAATCCACTCTAGTTGACTGGAGGCATATGCCTAAGCTCTGTCTCTTTCCTCTGTAATATTTGTCTGTACATCTTGGAACTTAAAAAAAGTCCAAATGCGGGGCTGGCCCCGTGGCTGAGTGGTTAAGTTCGCGCGCTCCGCTGCAGGCAGCCCAGTGTTTCATTGGTTCGAATCCTGGGCGCGGACATGGCACTGCTCATCAGACCACGCTGAGGCAGCGTCCCACATGCCACAACTAGAAGAACCCACAACGAAGAATATACAGCTACGTACTGGGGGGCTTTGGGGAAAAAAGGAAATAATAAAATCTTAAAAAAAAAAAAATCCAAATGCATCTGACTCAAAGGAGAAGACTCTTCATGCTTTTTGTCATCTTGAACTTCATGTCCCCTAAAAAATCTCAGTGTCAAATCAAAGTCTCAGGAAGGCTTAAGGCATTGCCTTGTGTGTTCTGCACTGTGTAAGGTCAACTTGTATATAGACTATATCAATCAATTCCCTTACCTTCCAGCTTATAATTGGGGTCAGCCAATGGTAGGAACCCATATAGTTACCATGTCCTGTGGTTTCTTTCTTCCTGAAGATACAAGTTTTAATTTGATGTTATTTTCCGTTAGCTTGAAGAACTTTACTTATTTTTTTCTTTTAGTGCAGGTCTGTTGCTGATAAATTTTCTTAGGCTTTGTTTATTGAAAAACGTCTTTATTTTGCCTTCATTCCAGAAGGATATTTTTGCTGGATATAGAATTGTAGATGGGCAATACTTTGCCTTCAGCACTTTATGGATGTCATTCTTCTGTCTTTTGGCTTCCATTGTTTCTTCAGTCATTTTATCACTGTCCCCTTGTAAGTATTGTGTCATTTTTCTTCTGGTTGATTTCAAGATTTTTTTCTTAAATTTTTTTCAGCAGTTGACTATGATGTGCCTAGCTGTGTTTTTCTTTGTTTTCATCTTCCTTAGAGTTTGCAGAGTTTGTGAATCTAAAGTGCTTTTTATTTTTTTTTACCAAATTTGAAAGATTTTCACCTGTTATTTGTCCAAATATTTTTTGTTTCACTTGCTACTTTCTCTTGTTTTGAGACTCCAAGTACAAGTATGTTAGAGTTTTTGATATTGTTCTAAAGGTTCCAGAGTCTCTATTCATTTTTTTAAAAAATATTTTTTCTATCTATTCTTCATTTTTATTGCTATATCTTTAAGTATACTGAATTTTTCTTCTGTCATTTCCAATCTGCTTTTAAGTCCACCTACTTATTTTAAAAAGTTCAGATATTATGATTTTTAATTCTAGAATTTCCATTTTTTTAATACTTTCCTTTTTTCTAAGAATTCCTATTTAATCATTCACTATGGGCTTATTTTATTTTTCATTCTTGAGAATAGTTAAGATAACTGCTTTAAAATTCTTATATGCTAAATTCAACATCTTGGTCATCTTGGGGTCAGTCTCCGTTGACTGAGTATTGGTTACATTTCCTGTTTTTTCTATGTTTATTAACTTTGGGTTGTGTCCTAAACATTGTCTATGGTTTGTTGTAGAAACTCTGGATTGTTAAATTTCTCCCAAGAATCTTGGTTTTTTTGGTCCGTTTTAGTTTCCAATTAACCTGACTGGACTTAAATTCAATATTTAGTCTCCTTTCAGTGGGTTGCAGCTGAAATCTCTGATCATTTCTTTTTGCCTTAGCTGTGCGATTTTCATGAATTTTTAATTTACAAAAATGATATGGGGTTCTAGAAATTATGGTTTCTTACTGTCTTCATCCAGCTCTGTTCTTATTAAATATATAATTGCTGTGTATACATATACAGTCATGTGCTGCATAATGACATTTCAGTTAATGATGGACTGCATAAATGACAGTGGCCCTATAAGGTTAGTATCATACAGTCTAGGTGTGTAGTAAGCTATACCATCTAGGTTTGTGTAAGTGCACTCTATGATGTTTGCACCGTGATAAAATTGCCTGACACATCTCTCAGAACATATCCCTGTTGTTAAATGACATGACTGTACTTTGCTTCTAACCACTCCATAGTAGCCCCTTTATTATCTTGTCAACACTAGACATCTGGCCTGGGCTATGTGAGTACCAATTTCTGTGCTGAAGAAGCAGAGGATTGTTGTCTTAAGTCAAGGTAGAGGATAGGCAAGAAGAGATCTTAAAAGCTTTCCTGCAACCTATCCGCTCACAGCCTCCTCTAGGAACCCTTTGTGCTAGCCTCAACTCATCCCTCATCTTATTACCCCAACACATGTATCAGTTCAAGCAATCTTCAGACTACCCAAAGATTTCTTAGAGTTACTTTTAATTCTTGAAATCCGTACTTTCCTCTCACTTCCATTGTTTCTTCTAGGCTATTTTTATAGGGAATCCAAGAAGCTTATGCAAACTTGCCATCCGTCAGGAGAAGAAAATGCTCTCTGATCTTCTTTCTCTGCTAAGCACTAACTCTGCATTCCCAAGAAATGGCTGGACGATATATTAGAAAATGGGAGATCAGGAGAAATTAGATACAACATGTAAATTCTGAGAAAACTTTAACGGAAATAAAATCTTCCATTTCTCCAAACTTTAGCAAGAGATACATGTAAGAAAGAAATCAGTTCTAACCTAGAGAATTCTTCATACAGGTGTATAATGAAGCATTAACAAGGTTTTTCTTTGCTGCATACAAATATTAGACAAAAAAGTGGAAAACTTAAATGACCATCAGTAGACAATGGTTGGAGAAATAATGGTCCCTCCAAACCGTGAAGTATGGTGGATTAGCTAAAATGAATTAAGTAGATCTCTATGCGTACATACTGATGTGGAAGAATCTGCAAGGAATACTATTAAGTGAAAAGAAGTTGAAGAATCATTTGTTCAGTATAATTCACTTGGGTAAAAATAAATTAGCATCCATTAAGCCAAACTATACATTTCTATATATGCATGCATACTTATATACTTACATAGAGAAAGGATAGGAAGGAAACATATACCACATTGACATATCTCTTAGAATGAAAGTGTAATTGGCAGAGCAGTGAAAGGAAACGTTCATTTTATTTGTATTGTTTCATCTTTTTGCAATGAAAATGTCAATTACTTAATTTTAAAAGTCAGTGAAGGAAGCTTAGATGCTGAATATGGCATTCACCGAGTATCTTTTTTCCTACAGAAAGAACAAAGGTGTTTAAAGATGTCCTGTTACATTTGAACATGGATAGGAGCAGAAAGCTTCTGCCAGATTTTGTTAAACAATTCTCCTTAGATCGAGGAAGTAGGTGGACACCTAGGACTCCAGGAGACTTCGCCTGGAATTTCCTGATGCAAGTTCAAGCATTGGATGTGACAGCCAGAGATTCAATCCTCACACATAAAGTTCTGGGTGAGGATAGCACAAGGGAATTGCTGACTGGAGTACAGAATTTGGAAATTAGAGACTTACAAACCATTAATCCCCTTGATGTCCTTTGTGCCTCTATGCTGTGTTCAGACGTCTTTTTGCAACGTGAAGTCATGTCAAACATGTATCAGTGCCAGTTTGCTCTTCCCTTGCTACTGCCAGATGTAGAAAACAACAAAAGCATTCTAATGCTGGGGGCCATGAAGGACATTGTGAAGGAGCAGTCACTGCAGTCTTCGGGAGGGCCTACAGGGGATACAGAAGCATTTCTGACTCTCATGAAGATGCCTGTCATCTCTTTTGTGCGTCTAGGATCCTGTAGCTTCTCTAAGTCCAGAATCCTCAACACACTGCTCAGCCCTACCCAATTGAAGTCACACAAAATCTTTGTTCAAAAAGATTTGCCTGTTCTGGTGCTTTCCCGGCAAATCTCTGGTGGCCTGGTTGAGATAACGTGGTGTTTTCCTGATAGCAACAGTCTAAAGGAAAACCCTTGTTTTTTCCAAAAGCCTGTTGCTGTGGCCAACCTTCATGGAGATCTACAAAGTTTTTGGACACAGTTGGTTTCTTGATGGAAATTTCCTCAGCTGTGTTCTTTTTCACTGACCGCCTAGGTGAGAAGGAATGGGACCTGCTAATGTTTTGAGGAGAAGCTTCCATTGAAAGATGCTACTTTGTCCTCAGTTCCCAGGCCAAGGAGAATGAAGAGGCTCAGATTTTTCAGAGGATCTTGAAGTTAAAGTCATCACAGCTACTGTTTTGGGTGGGAGAGGAAGGTAGGGAGAGACAGAACACAGAGGCCCTTCAAGCTGCCCTCTGGGAAGTGATGTCCTCTTCACTCAGATGTGTGTCTGTGGAGGGTATGGCCTCCCTGGCCAGGGAGTTGGGGATCCAGGTAGACGAAGACTTTGAGAACGTTCAAGCAATTCAAGTTTCCCCTGGTGAAAACTTGGCTGCAACAGCTGAAGATGAGGGACAACAAAGGTACAGTCAGCCAAAAGGTTCATCTGAGTGCCCAGCTGAGATGCCTGTAGGACAGCCGGGGGCAAGATGTGAGATCAGCCAGAATCTTCAGAATCTTCAGCTCACCCCAGTATTTATACCTCATCTGGCGAACTACTGTCCCTTACCAACCAGAATCAGAGGTGATTTTAACCATGTTTCTTTGAAAGGCCCCTGGGTTATGAGCTCCCACTTTTGGTCAGACCAGAAGTCTAAGGGGTTCCGTCCTTTGCCCTTTCAGAATACAAAGACCCATAGTCAAGTTACGAATTTTGGGATTCGATACTTCCAACCCCAGAGATTTTATTCACGTGAAAGATTCATGAAATTTTCGAGAACTGCTTGGGGACGTCACATGGTTGGAACATTGGGGAGACCACCAAGACCCATTTATCAGCATGCACAAGGCTGGCCTGAGAGACCTCAGACAATGGGAGCTCTTGAAGGGTTTCCAGCAGTGGTCTCCCAGGTAGGTCACCTCCATTCTCTGGGTTCACAGCCAGCAGGAACAGTTAGGAAGCCACAGCCTCGGCAAGCCAGCACACGGGGATCACAGCTAACTGAAGCAACTGGAAAACTCATGGGAACAACATCCCATATGGAAGATCCTCACCCTAAAGCCTTTCAACCAGCAGGAGCCATACAGAAACCCATAAGACCTGCCTCTCAGCAAGGAGACAAAATAAAGACACAGGGTGGGCCTTCAAATCGAGCTTTCCAAATGAATTCCCATCTCATGTCCAACAGCAAAGGTTTACCCAGCTCTCAGTTCAAATCTGATCAGCCCAAGCCATCCCAGCTCAAGCACTCCAAGCCCACACCCTCCCAATCTGTGCCCTTTCAACCCAAACCCACTCAAACAAAACCCACTCAGCCCCAACCCTCCCAAGCTAGACCATCTCCATTAAAACATACTCAACCCAAGCCATGCCAGCCCCAGTCCTCCCAATCTAAGCCTTCTCAACCAAGACCCACTCAACTCAAGTCATCTTGGACCAATCCTCCACAGGCGAAGGCATACCGTCCAAGAGCAGGGCCCAAGAGGGTAGGGAAGCATTAAAGTACTTACTCCAGAGACCTATGAAAAATATCCTTTACCCAGGCCATTCCTATAATAAATAGAATCAACCAGTAAATAAATTAATTGAATCCAGCCTTGAGTATTAGGTAATATATAACCTGAATCCAGGGAATGGAGGCTGTGAGACAACCCCAGTTGGAGAAGAATGGGACTGGAGTCTCTAACTGCCAAGTGACCATAAAATAGGGCTCAGGTTGCCTTGGTGGTGTAGGAAAATTGCCCTAGATGTTGGCTGCTCCAGAGATGCCTTGGTCAAAGATTTTTGGTTCAATATCAGCTGCTAAGCAAGTAAACCTGTTTATTTGGCATATGTAAATCAACTTGCTTTTGACAATAGCCCCAATTTGCTCGAATGATAAAACTCACATTTGACCCTTAATATATAAAAATCAATGAAATTCATTATTTTGCATTAACTTTAGGAATGATCTGTGTATGTTTCATATTTAAAATATTTGTCATAGGTAAGATAATTTGGCTTATTAGAGGAACTGATACATTGGCCTCATGATTCCAACTTAAAATATGTAATTGAGTTTTTAATTTTAGAGTTGTGATTTTTTTTAAGTTGAAAAGATTAAGATAGATTTATAAAGTTTGTAAAAAGCATTGAAATATTTGAGAATTTAAGATTCACAGAATTTATAATTTTAATTTATTAGATTCATTATTGTTCTAAACATTTGGGTAAGTTCTGCAGTTAGAAGCATTAAGTAAAAAGAATATATAACATTTAAAATATTTAAGTGAAGTTTAATTAAGTTTGTAAAATGACACCAAATGTTAATAAAAGGCCACTTTAAAGGTAGGTGTTAAATTCACTAGATTTAGAAATAAAATAGTAAGATTTGTAAATTGAACTAAGAGCCCTAGTTTTTGAATTTGCCACCTTTATAAAAGTGTTATTAAGTTTAAGTAATAAAATAGCCCTGAATAGTCTTTTCTGGGAAAAAAAATTACCTTAAAGGACACAAAAAAATTCATATTGACGGATGAGAATTAATCTTTGAGAGGGAATAATTAATCTCTGAGAATATTCTCATACTACAAGTATCCTTCATTTGTTTGTGCATGTATTAAACAACCAATATGGGGTATTTACAGGGTGTTCAATCCTTCTAAAGGTTATGGTAAGAGTAAAGAAAGAAATAGAGGGCTATGCATGTAAATTTTTATCCTTATCTTTTGGCAAGAAAAAAAGCGTAATAACTAGTTCATAACTATAAAATCTTTGGTGTAAAAGCAGAGTTTCTCAATGGAAAATGAGCTTTTTTGTTGTTTTAACTTTTAAATAGTAGTGATTTTTTTTTTTTAAAGATTGGCACCTGAGCTAACATCTGTTGCCAATCATCTCTTTCTTTTTTCTTCTTCTCCCCATAAGCCCTCCAGTACGTAGGGGTATACTCTAGTTCTAGGTCCCTCTGGTTGTGCTATGTGGGACATGGCCCCAGCGTGGCCCGACCAGCAGTGCTAGGTCCATGCCCAGGATCCAAACCAGTGAAACCCTGGGCCACCAAAGCCGAACACGTGAACTTAACCACTCGGCCACAGGGTGGCCTATAGTGATGTTTTTTAAAACCTTTCTCTGAATCCTCCTTCAAGATTAGCGCTTGGAGGATAGACCTTGTTTGGGTTCTTGTCACCAAGAGATTCTGTATCAGTCTGGGTCTTGACAATACATATGTGATACATTCAAATCGGACAATTTGAGGAGAGTTTAATAAAGGGACTATTTATAAAGGGCTGGGCAAGATATAAAAACAGCAGAAAGGAGAGCACAGTACCCTAGGTCTCGTAAAAGCAAGACACATTACCACCCCAAGGTCTGAAGGGGATTGGGGGAGGGGAGAGTGCTTTTCCCCAGTCAGAGGAGCAGAGTGGAAAGGGTCTTGGATCTGGCTGGTTGGGGGTACAGCGGGCTGCAGTGATCTGCAGGGGGAATCCCAGGGAATAAATATCTGCCCTTTCCCTCCCATCTGCCAGTGGACCCCCTTGGCCAAACCCAACCAGAAGCCAGAGAACAAGAAGCCCCTCTAGGCAGTTCACGTAGGTCAGCCTTCTGGGTTCAGAGCAGGGTGGAGAGTAGCTCTGGAAGGGTAAACAGAAGATATCCACCAGATTCCTCCCTTTCCATTCCATTCTTCCTTTTCTCATCGTTTTTCCTTTCTTCCTTCTCTCATGTTTATTTATCAAGCATCTATTATGTGCAAGGCATTGGGCTGGGAACAGAGAAGACATGGAAACAGAATAAGAAATTCTTCTCTGGTTGTGAGAGCCTATAAATCTCTGTGTTTCCTCCTTATTATAAAACTATAAGCTCATTATAAATAGTTTTGAAAGTGCAGAAATAGACAAAGAAGAAAGGAACATAAAAATAATCTATAATCCAATAACTCAGAATGACTAGTAATGTAGTCCTCCAACTCACTAATAACATTTTCATGTATTTTTTCCACATATATATATTTAGAAGCAGCACTCAGTTACATTTTTGAGTATACTAGGGTTGAATGTGGCAAAGTTAAACACAGTGTTAGGAGCAGGCAGAATAAACAGCGTGAAATATTGGTTTTCCAGATGTGTTAAGAAAGTCTAAATTCAGCAGATGAAATATAGTTTGAGTGTCATTGTATCATGTACAAGTGCAGTTGTTTTAAGTAAAATGTGCAAAAATTCAGAACCAGTTGTATATATATGTTGTATTTACTAAATTGAGAGCATTGTATTGGTACTTAGCTTTTTTTTGTTAGCAAATTGAAGAGTCAACTCAGTGATTTACCTCTTGCAACACCTGAAAATCCTCTCTTATAAACACCTTAAATAAATTTATATTTTATACAAGAAAACAAAGATGACTTTTTTTAATATTAAAAAAGTGTGTTCTTCATTGAGATGCTTGAAAAGAATGTGCACTGTGTTACAAAGACTCGTCCTAGGGACACAGTTGCCTCATGAATCATACTAACCTCATAAATCTAGGTTTTATCTGCACGCGTTATGGCCTCCTGAATTTAATTTTTGTCTTAGAATTTTTTATAGTCTTCTTTTGTGATTAAGGCAGAGTTCCCTTTCTAATATTTACTTATCAGATCCATGTAAACAAAGTGTCTAAATTGACTTGATAGTTGAGGAAGATAAACATGACACTGTCTACCAAGGATTTCAGGAATCTGATTTAATGTGTGGCTTTAAGTACAACTGGCTAAGGGTAGTTATTGATACTTGTTACGGTAAAAGGCCAAGATGCCATAGCAAAGAGAAGGCAAAAAAAGAGCAGCTTAAATAATATAGGAGTTTATTTCCCCGTCATGTAGCAAGTCAGCCTGTCTAGGCTGATGGACAGCCGTTCCCAGTAGGGTTAATCAAGAACTAAGCTCCTTCCATCTTGTTCTTCCATCTCCTGGGCATTGTCCTTTTCTGGACCATTGAGGCCCATCTCTCTCATTTCCTTGATCCAATTTACAGAAAGGTGAGAAACGCCAAAGTCCAGAGAAACAGGCCTGATTTTAAGTTAGAAATGACTTGGACATTACATATGTCTTTCACTCACACCCCATTGGCTCACACTTGGTCGTATGGCCACACATAACTGCAAAGGAAGTTGTGAAATGCAGTCACTAGCAGAGTGGCCAGGTGTCCAGGAAGAAGGGGAGAAGCAGCAGTTTGCCACAATATCAAAGAATATCAAGAGTATCAGAGGCCCAGAAGAGGAAGATAAAGTCACCAGATGACCCCAAAGCAAACATCAAATGTTCACTCCTACCACCTTAATCATAATTTTTACCTACTTATTTATAGGATATAAATTATTTTAATTGGGGTTGTGGGGGAGTGGTAATTGCCTGAACTGAAAAGAGGATTTTAAATCATGTTTCCATGAAGAGAGGATTTTAGATTATGCACTCCTTTAAATAAAATAAGGTTGTGAATTGTGATCTGGGTATTGCCTACTCTCAACCCTAAATTACACATGAGGGGCTATAATGTTTTCTATTATTCTATATGCTAGACTATCATCTCCAATGCAAGATGTCAACATTCTTCATACCCTTTTGGCAAGTTTCCTTAAATTCTAAAGCAGTGGTTTTATAATTTGAGTGTGTGTAAAAATCACCTGAGCCGGTTGTTAAAACTGCATATTGTTAAGTTTCCCCCCAGAGATTCTGGTTCAGTAGGTGTGGGTGGGCCTGAGGAACAGCCCTTAACAGGAACTCCCACTGAGGCAGGAGACCCAGAGGTCACATTCTGAAAAACCCGATACAGCCTGGGCTGCAAACCTGTTTTCTGCTGCTCCGAGAAAGATATTTTCAATCTGGGCCAGGAATACAGGCTGGGATAATTTCCCTTCATTATCAGTTTCATTAAACTTATTATTCATCTCCTGCTGGAAAATTGGGCACTGGAAATTGGGCACTAAAATTTTGTAATGTGATAGTGAGGTGAAAACTTTTAGCCATTTAAGATAGGGCCGCTCTATAGGTTTCCGTATCTAATGCTTCTCATTTTGTCGGTAAGTCATACCTGATTAAATTTAAAAGATGTCATTTTCAAAATGTGCTTCGTTCTCTTTGCTCCATGGCTGAGGCTTGATTTTTTTTTCTCAAACCTCAATCCTTTCTTCTTCCTGCCCAGTGTCACTGGTATATACAATATCATTCTGTCACTAATGAGACAATGATTTTGCTAGGGGTTAATGCACTATAATTTTTGGCTTGGGTCCTGATTTGACATTCCCGTGTCTCTAGGCCCCACAGACTAGATACATTTCTCCGGGATATCAGAGGCAGAGAGAAAGGAGAATAGATGAAGATACTGACGTGTTGTACACGTCTTCCGGAAGGGCTCTCTATCCCCAGTCCTTGGTAAATCCCCACCCCCACCTCTAGGCCCCAGGATGACCAATAAAACCCAAGGAAAGATCTGAATATTGCATGCATTTAATATGTGTCCCACTTCCCATAAGTGGATTGGGTGAAGGGATGTAGTAAGAGAGGAGGAAATACTATTAATAAAAAAGCGCATCAGTTAATACTTCAAATATCATCCTGTCGCAACAGTAGCCTGGGTGTTGGGGACAAAGTGATGAGAACAGAAAGATCAGTAAGATGAGAACTAGATGTGTCGCCTTGCATTGTGTGGTCCTTATCAGTACAGTTTTAGGGAGAAAAGGGCACAGAAGCCAAGCTGAGGAGGGTTGAGGTGTGAGTGGGAAGTAAGGAAGTGGACACGCCAAGAAATTTGAAGAAGAAAGTGCTGTTCCTACAGGGTCAAGGAAAGGGTTTTCTTCCTCTCTTCTTCCTCCTTTCCTTTTCCTTTTCTTCCCTATTTTTCTACTGATGCCTTTTTTAAAAATCTAGGGTAATATAATATTTGGAAAAAAATTCAAACACTGTAGAAATATATGATGTAGGAAGTCGTTCATAATCCCACCCTCTAGCTAGCAGGCGTTCTCAATATTGGCTGCACATTAGAATCACTGAGGGAGATTTTAAAAAATCCTGATGCCAAGCCCACAGCCCAGGTCAAAGATATCAAGATCTCTGGGAGTGGCACCCAGAGATCAGCATTCTTAAAACTCTCTAGGTGATTCCCATACACGGCGAAGGGTGAGAACCACTGCTTCAGGGCTTTGCTACTCAAAGTGGACCAGTGGCATCAGCGTCAGCATTCAGGAGAATCTCAGCTCTGTACCCCCAGCCCCCCGGCTATCTACTGAATCATAATATGTATTTTAGCAAGATTTCTTTCTTTTTTTTTTTTTGAGAAAGATTAGCTCTGAGCTAACTACTGCCAATCCTCCTCTTTTTGCTGAGGAAGGCTGGCCCTGAGCTAACATCTGTGCCATCTTCCTCTACTTTATATGTGGGACGCCTGCCACAGCATGGCTTTTGCCAAGCGGTGCCATGTCCGCACCTGGGATCCAAACCGGCAAACCCCAGGCCGCACGTGCGAACTTAACCGCTGCGCCACCGGGCTGGCCCATTTTTTTTTTTAAAGATTTTATTTTTTTCCTTTTTCTTCCCAAAGCCCCCCAGTACATAGTTGTATATTCTTCATTGTGGGTCCTTCTAGATGTGGCATGTGGGACACAGCCTCAGCGTGGTTTGATGAGCAGTGCCATGTCCGCGCCCAGGATTTGAACCAAGGAAACACTGGGCTGCCTGCAGCAGAGCGCGCAGACTCAACCACTCGGTCATGGGGCCAGCCCCCCAAGATTTCTTGAAATTTCATATGCACAATAAAAATTTAGAAGCACTTTCTGGAGAAAAATCACTAAAAGCAATGAGAAAGACTTTTTTTTTTTGAGGAAGGTTAACCCTGAGCTAACATCTGCTAATCCTCCTTTTTTTGCTGAGGAAGACTGGCCCTGAGCCCACATCCATGCCCATCTTCCTCTACTTTTTTATATGTGGGACGCTTACCACAGTGTGGCTTGCCAAGTGGTGCCATGTCTGCACCAGGGACAGAACCTGGGAACCCAGGGCGGCCAAAGCAGAACGTGCGCACTTAACTGCTGCGCCACTGGGCCAGCCCCCAGACTTTTTTTTTTAAAGATGGAATGAGCTCATGCTTATAGACTGAGAGGAAGCATCTATAAAGGGGAAAGAATAGAAAGTATAAGACAGAATGTCATAATTGTTAGGGCAATGTCCCAGAAGAGGTGGGAGGAATAGAAGTGACAGCCTGTTGGGAAAAATGAACTTTGAAGAGGAAAGGGAATTTGTCTTTTTCTGACAGCGAAGGAAGAGAGAATGACTGATAGACTTACAAGTAGGTTTGTGGAGGGGAGCAGGAAGTTGATGGCCTTTGTTTTCTGCTTTCCTCAAGGAAGTAGGAGGAGAGGTCACCTGCTAAAAACGAATGGGACAAAGAGGAATAATGGCTACTGAACACTTACTATGTGCCACAAAGGGTTCTACATACAAAACTCATATATAGTCCTTCCAATAGCCCTATGACAATTCTGTTGTACAGACGGGGACATCGATGCTCTGCTGCTTTCTCCTTTGCTCAGTCTTTAAACATATCCTGAGGTCCCTTCGCCATTTTTTCACTCTTCAGCGACATCACTCAGTCTTCTGACCGTAACTGTGGCCTTCATGACTGACGCCCACCAAATCTCCATTTCTAGCCCTGACCTGTGCTGCGAACTCCAGCCGATTGTTCACTTGACATTTCCATAACAGGCCTGATAGAAATCTCAAACTTATCCTGGCAAAAGGAACTCTTCCCAAACCTGCTCCCCAGCCTCCATGCACCCATCATAATGCTGCCAAAACCCAGGACTTCTCCTGGCAGTGCCTCTTCCCTCCACCTCCCTCCACCCCAAATCACCCCCTCCCTATCCCAAATCACCAGGAGTCTTGTCAACTTGACCTCCATAGTATTCTGAGTCCACTCACTTCTCTAACATCTCCACTTCCACCAGTCCGGTCTAAGCCACTGTCACCTCCTCCGTGGACCACTGCAATAGTGTTCTAACTACCCTCTGCTTCCACTATTACCTGCCTGCAACTCGTTCTCTGCATTTCAGCCAGGGTGAGGTGTGTGTGTATAAATGGTCATTTTAAACTTACACACAAACAGAATAGTATAGTGAACCTGTTTAGTCTCATCACAGCAACTCCAAAAATTATCAATAATTTGTCAATCTTGTTTTATCTATCTCCTTACTTCTACATTTTTCTTTTTCTCAAAAGCATTTAAAAGCAAATCTAAGATGCCATATCATTTCAACCATAAATATTTTAGCAGATATCTCTAACAGAGAAGAATTTTTAAAAGTACAACCAGAATGCTTATTACATTCTTAGTGCTCCAGTGTGCTGCCCACGTTTCTATATTTTATC